GATAGATAGATAGATAGATAGATAGATAGATAGATAGATAGATAGATTGAGATAGAGCCCCTTGAAAAACCTTAAAGCACTATAGAAATGGCAGTGATGGCTATTATAATTTGCTGTAATGGCTTCTTTCAGATCCAAATAACAAGAGGATGGCCAGGAACATCCTGAAATATGAAAGGCTGTTGGCAGAGAAATCCAATATGACAGGACCTGAGGTGACCATCAAGAGACCTAATGTCCCCCACCTACAGACTAGGGACACCTACGAGGGACTGTGCCAGACCTTGGGTTCCCAGGTACCCCTCCTCAGAATGGAAATGGGAGGCTACAGGATTCCAGATGAACTTCTGTTCAAAAAAGTAAAAGCAGAGACTGTGAGGGACTGTCTGATGTTGACTACTGCCAAGTGGAGGTTGTGGCAAGATGGGGTAGGAACTGGGTATTAGGAAGTAACCGGAGCTCACGCTCCCGAGGCAGGGGCTGTGGTAGGCGGAGTTGTGGTGAACTGGGATGGGCTGGATATGGAGAAGTAACTGGAGCTCACGCTCCTGAGGCAGTGGGCAGTGCTATGAAGCTGGGGAAGGAACAGAATTCAAGGAAGTAGCTGGAGCTCCCGCTCCTGAGGCAGGGGGCTGTGCCACGTGGGAGTGGGACGGCAGAGGACGAGTTCCCTTTGCTTAGTCCCCTCCCTAAGTGCAACGTCAACCCCAGACGCCTCCTTCCTGTGTCCTTCCTGACTTCCTGGGTCACGTACCTTCCCTTTGTGTAGCACTGACCCCAGACGCCTCCTTCCTGTATCTGGTCCTAGCCTCCTGCGTCACTTCCTCTCCCTTGGTGCGCTAAACTCAGACATCCCCTTCCGGTATCTGACCCTACAATCATTGACTAGTAGGCGGGCTGAGGAGGAGGGGCTAAGTAGGTACTTAAGGAACGATCGCTCTCTTTGCTCCTGCTCTCTTGCTATGGCCTTCCTGCTTGGCCTTGCTGTGATGGCCTCTGAATAAAGCTCAGGTGTTGGCACCTCCTGGTCGTCTCGTCTCTGTGTGTTTATCCGGGTAGTACCCGAAGACGGGTAAGTATGACTCTGGCAGCCTGCTCCTTATAGGAGGAGAGTGCACGGCGCAGCCGGCACAAGAGACAAGACAGAGAAATGAAATGATACAAGCCAATGGTGTAACATAGCAGCTAAAAAAAAGCTAAAGAGATCTTAGGTAGCGTAAAGAGAAGCATATCCATGGGAAGACAAGGGATTATCATCTTTGGTCCTGTGTTTCCTATAATAAAAAGGAGACTGACAAATTGAAGAATGTCCACAAGGCTCAGGCTGATCTGCCTTATCCTATTAGAAATCCTTCCTAATTCCCTTCATTATTAGCGCTCATGTCTCCCCAAATTATGGTGTGTGTGTGTGTGTGTGTATGTGTGTGTATACACACACATCCATATATACATATATCTATGTATATGTATATACTTATCTGCTTACCTGTTATATCCGAACAAGAGATTACCGCCTGAGACAGCCTGTTCCAATCTAAGTCAATTTAACAAACATTTATTAAGCATACGTAAGGCCCTAGCTAGGCACTACAGACAGAGACAAAACAAACAAAAATCCAGTCCCTGCTCCCAAGGAGCTTATATTCTATTGTTGGGTAGCAAGGCAGTAGCAAGTCGCTAGAGGTCTTTAAGAAGAGGTTTAATGACTACTTTTTGGTGATGATATAGAGGAAATTTCTGCTTAGTCAGTCAGTCAGTCATCAAGCATTTATTAAGCACCTACTATGTGCCAGGCACTATGCTAAGTGCGAGGGATACAAAGAAAAGCAAAAACAGTCTTTGCCCTCATAGAGCTCCCATTCTAATGGGGCAGACAGCCTGCAAGCAACTATGTACAGGAAGATGTATAAAGTGTAAATGGGAGGTAATTCCAGAGGGAAGGCACTAACAATGGCAGGGATAGAAGTAGACTGGTGTATGAGATTCTTTCCATTTCTAGTGTTCCATGATTTTGTGACCAAGTCCTGGAAAGGGAAGCGGGACTCAGGATGAACGGAGAAGGCCTAATGGTGTAGGGGCAGAGCCGGTCAGTGCAGACTGAGGCTCCACATCCCAGTTTTCAGAGGCCTTACACTCTTGATGGTGCAGGTCTTGTTCCTGGGCCCCTTCTTCTCTCACACTGGTCCCCTTCTTTCCCTTCCAGCCCACCCACTACCAGATCCCAAGCCTCTACTGTGCCTACGAGACCAACGCCAGCCCCTATCTGCTGCTCCAGCCTGTGCGGAAGGAGGTCCTCCACCTGGAGCCCTACATTGTCCTCTACCACGACTTTGTCAGTGACTCTGAGGCCCAGAAGATTAGGGGGTTTGCAGCACCCTGGGTGAGTGTCCCCTGTGCTTGGCAGGAGCACAGGCTTGGGGCTTAGGGAAGGAATAGCTTGAGCTTAGAGAGCCACGGTGGAGGAAGGACGTTGATAATGGAGATGTCCAGGGGAGGGCGTCCAGAATGGCAAAGGGCTTTGGGTTCATCCCATAGCAGGATCAATTGAAGGAACTGCGGGTGATTAACCTAGAGAAGAGAAGGCTAGGTGAGTGGTGGGAGAGGGTGGGGGATGGGGGAGGGGTGGGGGAGGGCCATGTGATAAAGATCTTCAAGTATTTGAAGGTTATCACATTGGAAGAGGGAATGGTTTAGTCCTTCTCAGCCCCAGAGGGCAGGATGGGGAGTACCTGGGGGACGGTACCAAGATGAAGACACGAATGTAAGCTTGTTATCAGGAAAAACTTCCTAACAACTCGAGCTGTCTCAATGAGAGATGGACTGCTCCAGAGATAGTGAGATGTCCTTCCGAAGAGGTCATCCAAAGAAAGGATGGATGACCATATGTCAGTACATTGTAGCAAGAATGCTATTTCAGGTATCCATTGGACTAGATGACTTCTGAGGTCCCTTCTCATTGAAATTCTGTGAATGTGAAATATAGCTTATATATGTATAAATACTCATGCATATATGTATATCTGGATACACACACATACTTGGGTATAGCTAACATTTATAGAGCACCTACTATGTGCCAGGCACTGTGCTAAGCACCTTACAAATATTATCTCAATTGATTCTTGCAACAACTCTAGGAGGTAGGTGTTCTTATTGTCCCTGTTTTACAGATGAGGAAACAGAGGTTAAGTGACTTGCCCAGGGTCACAGCTAGTGTCTGAGGCTAGATTTGAACTCAAGTCTTCCTAACTCTGAGCTGGTGCTGTACCTACTGCACCACCTATTATAATCCACATGACATATTATATATAATTATAAGATGGAATAAATAGATGATATAATTATAAATATATAACCTATTATATATATATTTCTTAAAAAACAAGCTGCATAATAGAGATTCAGTTTCTAATAAAAGCCACTTTCTTATTCTTTTTTGTATATTAAAATGTTTTTATTGAAAATTAAGTTCATAATAAAAAAAGAAAAAATATATGCATCCATATATCCTTTCCCTTCCTCCACCCAGAGAGCCATTGCTTGTAACAAAAAAAGAAAAAGAAAAAAAAAAGAAAAAAATTGCTCAGCAAAACTAAGCAATCCATCCTCTGGATCTGACAGCATGTGCAGGATTCCATAACCTGGAGTCGCCCACCTCTGCAGTGAGGGAGGAAAGAACTTTTTCCTCATTTCTTCTACAGGGACAAGCTTGGTCATTACAATTTCATAATTACATTCAAGAAACAAATGCATACTGTGTGCAGAGTCCTATACTTATGCCTAGAGAGATACAAAGTCTAGATAAGACATGGTCCCTGCCCTCATGGAGCTTTTGGTCTATTAGGGAAATACCACCCCCATCTCCACCTATTGACATTCTTTTCCTTCTTCAAGGCTCAGCTCAGGTACCACCTCCTGCATGTAGAGTTCATTGTCAACCATCCCCACCCCTCAGCCATTAATGATTCCTCTCCCCAGATCTGTCAAACTACTCCAACCTCTCCTATAGATTTATTCATTTTCTAACTGGTATTATAGTTATTTGCATGCATATCACTCCTCTCCTGGATTTTGAGCTTCTTGTTTCCCCTGGTAGACTGTATTATCCATGAATATATGAATGAATGAATGAATGAATGAATGAATGAATGAATGAATGAATATTTATTAAGCACTTACTATATGCCAACCACTAGGGATACAAATATATAACAAAGTCTCTGCTCTGAAGGAACTCACATTCGAATTAGGGAACACAATACATATAAGAAAATTCAACTTTAGGGGCAATGGAAAGATCCAGAAGTCTCAAGAGTTCTAGAGAGTGTAGAGGCAGGGCTGGCAGTGAGGCCCTAGTGGACTGGTAGGCATAGTAGAACGTCTGGTAGTCAATGGCAGGGCTGTGTTCTTCCAGCTTCCTAGAGTGATTAGAGATGATGATGCCTTGATCATGTCAAGCAGCCATGTCAACTCTGTGAGGCAAGGGCCTAGAGGTGGACTAGCCCAGCACTATTGAGAAGGGGAAAGGAGGCCTGAGTGTCTGAGTGGGGCAGGGATTCTGGGTTCCCTTTTACAGGGGTGGGATTGGGGGAGGGGGGAGGCAGTGTCCAGGGACTGTTTCATTTTTAATCTTTGTATCTCCAGTGCCTAGCACATAATGAAGGTTTAATAAATGCTTGCTGATTTATTGAGGATGGGAATTGTGTCTTTTTTTTTTAATCTCCATGTCCCTATTATCTAGTACCAGGCTTTGCACATAGTTAGTATTGAATACATTTTTTAAGAAGTTTCTTGAGTTGGATTATTGTTCCCATTTTACAGATGAAAAAACTGAGGTCACGGAGGCAACATGACTTGCCCAGATTCATTCAGCTTACTATTGGCAGAGCCAAGATGGGAGCCCAGGTCTTTGGACTTCATATCTAGTGTTCTCTCAACTGCTCCGCATTGCTGACTCTCTACCATGTGCTTAGCACTGTGCTAAGTAAACACCATTTGCTGCTAGGTGTTATGGGAATGGGATGAGAAATGGTGTTACTGGTGGTGAGTCAGCAGATATGGGCAGGGAAGTGCAGTATCCAGGGCATCCTAAATGGGAGGGTTTGGAGATAATGATCAGCTCTTAATTTGAAGGGAACCTAAGAAATGAAAACCAGTCTTGAAAGTGCTTTAAGCTGGAAAGAGAGAAGCATTCATTAAATGATCTCATAAGGATTGGCTTCCTTGGCATTTTAAAATTGATGCTGAGGGTCAGAGGTCACTTTGAGAAACATTTTGAAGCTATATTAATATTAAACACATAAACCACCCAAGAAGAGAGAAAATGAGACACTATAGGCCCGTGTATATGAACCCATCAAATCTGACCAAAATTGCATTGTGTTTACTTTGTATATACTTAGTACTGACTTATTTGTGGAATGTTGTTTCTCTGTTAGAATGTAAGCTCCTTGAGGGCAGGAATAATTGTTTTTGGTCTTATTCCTAGCACTTTATTTAGTGCCTGGCACATAGTAGGGGCTTCATAGGTGCTTCTTGAATTGAGTTGAAATGTCATAGGCTTTGGAGCTAAAAGGAACCTTCAAGAGCATCTCAGGCCAACTGCCTTATCGTACAGAGGAGGAAACTGAGGCCTGGAGAAAATTGACTTGTTGAGGTAGCTCTGGCAATAAGAATAGCACCTTTCATTTCTATAGTGTTTTGCAGTTTACAAAACTGTCTCCTCTAAATGGTAGTTCCAGGATTATTATCCCCATTTGACAGATGAGGCTCAGAGTGATCAATGACTTGGTTGGGGTTCACGCCTACCAGTAATGTGGGGACTGGAATTTGAACCCAGGTCTCTCCTGACCACTCTACCATGCCTGCCTCTGTGATTCTGTGATATATGCATGTCTCCAGAGGCACGTGGGCAGCTTCCCTTTGCATGGTGACTTCCTCTTCCTGCTTTCCCCCTTCTTCTCCATGTCAGCTGCAGCGGTCGGTGGTGGCCTCCGGGGAGAAGCAGCAACAGGTGGAATATCGCATCAGCAAGAGGTAAGGGAGCTTGATGTGGTCCAGGTCTGCCCCTGGGGGGTCTTCCATCCCTTTGAAACACCCTCTTGTGAGCCAGCCTGGTGGTCAGGGAGCTCTGGGATTGATGAAAATAATGCCAAATTTCTTTAGCATATTAAGATGCAGTTTGTATACATTGGTTCACTTAATCTTCACAAAAGCCCTGTGAGGTAGATGCTCTGGAAATTATCTCCCATTTTACAGAAGAGGAAACTGAGGCACAGAGACATGAAATGACTTGCCCATGATCACACAGATAGTAAGTGGTCAGTAGGACTCCTAGATCATAGATCATATTATAGAAGAGACTTTAATGGTTATTGAGTCTAATCCAGAAGTTCCCAAACTTTCTCCTTTCAAGGTACCCTTAGTGCCTTTATTAAGACATGCTTTTTTCATGGTGGCACCTAGGTTAAAAGAAATATCTAACAGTTCTATTTATGAAATGGTTAGGTTAAAAAAAATTAAATATCCTGCACCTTTGTGAGCTCAGTGAACGGCATAGAGTTTGGGAATCTTGAGCCTAATCCCCTCATGTCTAAGAATTCACATGGTCTAGCCTCTGTGTCCCTTTGGGTCAGGAAAAATCAATATCTTTTCAGGGCAGTCCAGTGGTTTTTCTTAAAATTACTTTTATTTATTTTGCTAAATAAAAAAATTTAACAATCTTTTGAGTTCCAAATTCTTTCCCTGCCTTCTTCCCTTGCCCCCTTCTTGAAAAGGCAAGCAATTTGATTTCAATTATACATGTCAGGTCATGCAAAATATATTTCCATATTAGCCATGTTGTAAAAGAAAACACAAACAAAATAAAACAATGAAAATATAGGGAGTTTAAAAAATTATGCTATAATCTGCACTCAGAGCTCATCAGTTCTCTCTCTGGAGGTAGATAGCATTTTTCATCATGGGCCCTTTGGTATTGTCTTGGATCATTGTCTTGATCAGAATAGCTAAATCTTTCATAGTTGATCATCCTCACAATATTGCTGTTGCTATGTACAATATTCTCCTAGTTCTTCTCACTTCACTTTGCATCATGATGTTCATGTGAGTCTTCCAAGGTCTTTCTGAAAGCATCCTGCTCATCATTTCTTATAGCATAATAGTATTGCATCACTGTCATATACTGCAGCTTGTTCAGTCATTCCTCAATTGATGGTCAACCCCTCCATTGTCAATTCTTTGCCACCACAAAACAGTTGCTATAAATATTTTTGTATAAATAGGGACTTTTATATTTTCTTTGATTTCTTGGAATACAGATTTAGTAGTAGTATTGCTGGGTCAAAGGGTATGCAGCTTTATACCCTTTGGGCATAGTTCCAAATTGCTCTACAGAATGGTTAGATCAGTTCAAAACTCCATCAATAGTATATTATAAAGTGTCCCAATTTTCCCTCATCCCTTCCAACATTTGTCATTTTCCTTTTCTGTCATGTTAACCAATCTGATAGGTGTGAGGTGGTATCTCAGAGTTGTTTTAATTTGCATTTCTCTAATTGGTAGTGATTTAGAACATTTTTTTCATATGACTATTGATAGCTTTGATTTCTTCTCCTAAAAACTGCCTGTTCATATCTTTCATCATTTATCAATGGAGAATGGCTCTTATTTTTATAAATTTGGATCAGTTTCTCATATATTTGAGAAATGAGGCCTTTTTGAGAGAAATTTACTTTAAAATCTCCTCTCACTTTCTTGTTTTCCTTCTAATTGTGGCTGCATTAATTTTGTTTATGCAAAAACTTTTTAATTTCATGTAATCAAAATTATCTTTTTTACTTTTTATAATCTGTTTCTTATTTGGTCGTAAACTTTTTTTATCCATAGATCTGACAGGTACATTTCCCCATGCTCTCCTAATTTGCTTATGATATCACCCTTTATATCTAAATCATTTATCCATTTTGACCTCATCTTCATTTTTGGTATTAGATGTTGGTCTATGCCTAGTTTTTATCAAACTGCTTTCTAGTTTTCCAAGCAATTTTTGTCAAATGTTGAGTTCTTACCCCCAAAGTTTGTATCTTTGGGTTTGTCAAATACTAGATCACTATGGTCACTTACTACTGTGTATACCTAGTCTATTCCACTGATCCACCACTCTCTTTCTTCTAGTTCCAGATTGTTTTGATGATTACTACTTTGTAATATAGTTTGAAATCTGGAACTGCTAGCCCACCTTGGTTAACATCTTTTTTTCATCGATTCCGTTAATATTCTTGATCTTTTGTTCTTCCAGATAAATTTTGTTACTATTTTTCCTAGCTCTACAAATTAATTTTTTGGTAGTTTGATTGGTATGGCACTAAATAAGTAAATTAATTTAGATAGAATTGTCATTTTTATTATATTACATCAGCCTACCTGTAAGCAACTAATATTTCTCCAGTTGTTTAGATCTGTCTTAATTGTGTGAAAAGTGTTTTGTAATTGTGTTCATATGATCCATGGGTTTGTCTTGGCAGATATACTCTCTAGTATTTTATATTGTATGCAGTTATTTTAAATGGAATTTCTCTTTCTATCTCTTCATACTGGGTTTTGTGGGTAGTATATAGAAATGCTGATCACTTTGTGGATTTATTTTATATACTGCAAATTTGCTGAAGTTGTTAATTGTTTCAACTAGTTTTTTAGTTGATTCTCTCTTTTCAAATTTTGGTCTATGGGTGGAGGGGAAAAGGAGACAGCTGGTCCTTTCAAGCACACCTGGGGGGCCCTACACAGGCCAGGTCATTCATTTGTAATTTACCTTTTTGAGGTTCCATTCCCTTCTCTTGATTCATTCTCTGGATGACTTTGTAGACATTCAGGCAAGGAGTCCAAATACCTACCTCTGGGCATGGAGAGGAGCTCATAGGGGTTGGGGCTTGGGCTGCCATGAGATACTCATTCTTCTCATCTTCCCAATGCAAGTGGCCCTTACCTCTTCTCTACCTCCCCTCACCTCATCCCTAGTGCTGCCCAGAATTCTTGGGCTATCACTTTTCCTCTTTAAGACTGTTTCTTCACCTTAAAATCCATCATCTCATTTGATTCTCACACACATCTCTCTTCTTTTAAAGCAGGAATTTTCCACCTCAGGGCAGTAGACAGATTTTAGGAGGTTCATGTTCTTTGGGGGGGGGCGGAGGGAGAGGAGGGTAGAAATAACATTTTTATTTTCACTAACCTCTTAACCAAAATTAGCATTGGTGTCAGTTATGAATGTAGGCAACAAAAATATTGATTCTGTGAAGAGGTCCACAGGCTAATTCTCCAGAGTGCCAAAGGTGCCACAAAAAGATGAAGAACACTTGCTTTAAAGTTCACCCTATCTAGCCCAGATCCTTGTTGCTGTCATCTTGGGACATCCAAATTCCTCTTCCTGATCCCCAGTATGTTCAGTACCTGGCTCACAATCTTCTTCTTCACTCCATTTCCTCTCCCTTTAAACACCCTGGCCTTAAAGTTCTACAAAGTTCCTCCTCCCATCCCCTGACCTTTATCTCAACATACATGGGCATGATCATACCTTAGACTCCATCTCCTCCAACCGAGTCTGCCCCAGATGCCAAAATTCCTAATTATGACTCTGCCATACTGCCCTTACCAGTAGCAGCAGAGAAAAGGAACACAGAGCTGGGACATAGCCTTAGAACACTTAATTTTAGATCATCGAAAAGAATGTCAGTTCCAGGAAGGACCGTAGAAACCATCCATCTAGTCAAGACCCTTCACTTTCCAGAGGAGGGAACTGAAGATCAGAGAGAGAAAGGTGACATGGCTAATGTCACACAAATACAAAGAGAGAAGACAAGGCCTCAAACCCAGGCCTCTTGACTCCCTGGCTCAGTGCCCTTTCCCCTGAAAGGAAGGCCTTCCTCGATCCGTAGATCAACAGGCATATATTAAGGTGCCTACTGTGTGCCAGTCACTGTGTTAGTCCTGGGGATATGAAGAAAAATATGAAACAGTTGTTCCCCCCTAAGAGATTTACATTTTAATGGGGGAGATTACAAGTATGTATACAGGATATATATATATATAAATATACTATGTATAAGTATGTATAGAACACATAGAAAGTTGATAGCTTGGAGGGGCAGGTAGTAGCAGCTCAGCAGGATCCTGAAAGTCCTCACATGGGAGGAGAGGCTACCAGGAAGGAAACCAGGGATTCCACAAGGCAGAAGTGAGGAGGGAGAGCATTAAAGGAATGAGTGAGGATTACCCAGCACCTTTTGCTTATGAAACTAGGGAAATGGTTATAGGGAAAGAGTGAGAAGAGATTATTAACTGAGAGTGAAGTCTCTTTGGTTAGTGGGGCCTGCCTGCAGGGAGCTCACTGCATAGAAGGGCCTGGGATTCCTGATGGGTCAATGTGCTGTGTGTTTCAGTGCCTGGCTGAAGGACACTGTGGACCCGATGTTGGTATCCCTAGACCGCCGCATTGCAGCCCTCACGGGCCTCAATGTACAGCCCCCCTATGCTGAGCACCTCCAGGTGGTGAACTATGGAATTGGAGGACACTATGAGCCTCACTTTGACCATGCAACGGTAAGTAGCAGGGGCGATGGGACTCCCACTCTTTGGAGGGAAACAGAGGGGAGGGTGTGTTTTCCTGAAATATTTCAAGCTGCAGAGCTCATTCACACAGGAAATAATGAAATCTTAAGGCAATATATAGAACCATAGAAAGTCAGAACTGGAAAGAACCATAGAAGAAAAAAGAGATCAGAACTGGGAAGGGCCCCGAGAGAGGCCACTTAGCCTAGCCCTCTTATGTCAGAGAGGAGAAAATGGAGACCCACAGAAAAGTGGGTCAGTGGCACAGCCTGGCCTAGAACCCAAGGCTCAGAAATACAGAATCTTAGAACTTTCAGAGTCAGGAGGGACCTCAGAGGCCATCTAATCTAATCTGTTCCCGCAAAGAAATCCACTCTACAACAATCCTCAACAAGTGGCTGTCCAGTCTCGCTCAGGGTCACACAGGAAACAGTGGCAGAGCCAGGATTCAAACCTGGTTGTCTTCTAGGCATGTAAATTCATCTGAATTCCTTCCAGAGCATTTGTTGAGAGAACTTGCTAAGGGAAGATTAGCTAAGAGCTCTCTAAGCTGAGAAGGGGCAGTTATACCCCTCGGTGTTGGCCCTGTGCTTTACATTTTCATCTTCCTGTAGGTCTGGTGAATTATCATTGTCTGCATTATTTTCTGCTGTCTTTGACTCTTTCATTGCAGTCACCAAGTAGCCCTCTGTACCGAATGAACTCTGGGAACCGGGTTGCAACCTTCATGATCTATGTAAGTGTGGAGGAATCAGAGGCTTCTTCTAATAGAACATTTGTTGATTATTGTACTTGTAGAGTACAGCATTTGATAGTATCCAGCCACTCATCATACTCATTCCCATTCAGAGCCAGGACTAGCAATTTTCATGCCCTGGGAGAGTAGCATGAAAATCTCCCTGAAATCAGCTTTTTAAGACAAATTCGGGTATTGGGGGATGGGAGCCCATAGAGTAGAGTGGAACAGATTGGATCAGACAGGGGAAGAACTTCTGGGTTGCTGAACGATGGCTGCAAGTGCTCTCTAAATTCTGCTGTCCTGCCTGGGGTAAAGCCCAGACTTTCCCGGGTCATTCGTTGGCTCCTAGTGCTTTGAGGTTTAGAGAGCACCTAAGTCATAAGATGATTGTGGGATAAGTCTTGACCACTTTAACATCCCTGATTTACAGCGTAAGAAACCAAAGCTTAAAGAGGGAAGTCATTTGCCCATGGTCACCCATCTAGTCAGTGTCAGAGCTAGGTCTGCATCAATGTCTTCTTGATGTGCGGTGATATTTCTACTATATCATTTTGCCTCTCATTTTATGGCTTATGAAGTACCTTCCTCACAGACACCCTGTGAAGGAAGTAGTGTCTGCCAGGATTATTAGTCCCATTTTACAGAGGAGGAAACTGAGGCTCAAAGATAGGAAATGATTTCAGTTCCAGAGGTAGCTAGGTGGAGCAATGGATAGAATGCCAGGCTTGGAGTCAGAAAGATCTGAGTTCAGATTTGGCCTCAGACACTTACTAGTTGTGTGACCCTGGGCAAGTCACTTAACCTCTGTCTGCCTCAGTTTTCCCAATTGTAAAATGGGGATAATAATAGTATCTATCTCCCAGGGTTGTTGTGAGGATCAAATAAGATAATATTTGCAAAGCACTTAGTGTAGTGCCTGGCACTTAGTAAGTGCTATATAAATGCAAGATGTTATTATTAAATGAGATATTTGATTTTTTTTAAAGAATGTTTTTATTTTACTTTCAGTTACATGTAAAACAATTTTTAACACTTATTTTTTATAATTTTTGAGTTCCAAATTCCTTCCTTCCTTCCTCCCTCCCTTTCTTCCTTCCCCCCTCTTTGAGAAGATAAGCAATATGATATAGATTATACCTGTGCAGTCATGTGAAACATTTCCATATTAGCCAAGTTACAAACGAAAACAAACACCGAAAAAAAAAAAGAAAAGAAAGTAAAAAAAAAAAAAATATGCTTCTTTCTGTGTTTAGACTTCACCGGTTCTTTCTCTGGAGGTGGATAGCATTTTTCATCATCAAGTTCTTTGAAATTATCTTGGATCATTGTATTACTAAGAATAGCTAAGTCTTAAATAAGATATGTTTACAGCATTTAGCAGAGTGGCTAGCATATAGTAGGTGCTATTATCAATGTTTAATTCCGTTCCTTTCTTCCCTTCCAGAACCTACAGTGAAATTTCAGACATGTATAGAAATCACTTACAGTCTTCTTGGGGGTTTCATCTTACATCCTCATTTTTCTTATTTTCTTTTCTTCTTATCTTGTTTATATATTTGAACATTTGTAATTGTCTGTGATAGTCAAATAATAGCTTAATAAATGTATTATTATAAATTATGTGTAAGTATAAAATTTATATTTAAAAGGAAGGCTTATGGTATTATGTAGATTAAGGAATTTTAAAAGTTATGCTATCATTGCACTGAGTCCAAATATAGTGGCTTTTTTTTTTTTGCTTTTTTTTGGTGAGGCAATTGGGGTTAAGTGACTTGCCCAGAGTCACACAGCGAGTGTTATGTGTCTGAGACCGGATTTGAACTCAGGTTCTCCTGATTCCAGGGCCGGTGCTCTATCCACTGTACCACCTAGCTGGCCCTATAGTGGCTTATTTAAACAAGTAGCTATTCCTGGTTATGTGGCTCCTTAAGGTTTGCAAGGTACTTCCTCTACAACAACCCTATGAGGTAAGTAGTACTTCAGTTTGCCAATGAGGATTCTGAGGTTCAGAGAGGTAAGTTACTTGCCTAAGGTCCCAGAACTATTAAGTGTTAAAGGTTGAATTTGATCTCACATCTAGCTCCAAGCTGCTAGTTCTACATGACACTGCCTCTTAAGAAAGCCCTGATCATCCTACTAGATTGGTTATATTTTATAATTAAATGACTACTGATTTAAAAAAATGAAAATAGAATAATAAAAGGGTATAGGAGAGATTTTGGAATCCCTCTCAGGGTTGTCATGAGAAACAAGAGAGAAGGGATGTAAAGGTATATAAAGGTGTGAATGGAGCAGCTAGGTGGCACAATGGATAGCGTGCTGGGCCTGAAGTCAGGAAGACTCATCTTTTTGAGTTCAAATCCGGCCTCAGATGCTAACTGTGTGTCCCCTGGGTAAGTCACTTCACCCTGTTTGCCTTGGCTCCTCATCTGTTAAATGAGCCGGAGAAGGAAATGGCAAACTACTCCAGGAACTTTGCCAAGAAAACCCCAAATGGGATCACAGAGAGTCAGAAATGACTGAACAACAAAAGTGTGAATGTAAACCCATACATTCTGACCATCTAGATGGGACCTGAAAATGACACACATCAAAGCAGGATAAGGTATATGCCACAGGGAATGTGGGAAAATCATTCCAATGTGGCAATGACTTGTGTAGCAAAGCGGGCATGGAATCCCATGAAGCTTATAGAGCTTGGGCCAGGAGCCCAGGGTAGGGCTGAGTTAGAGTAGCAGGGATAGAACTGAGCACTGTAGGGGCAAGACCACAGACAAAGGGGGTAGGTAGTTTGCTTGTCTATTTGTCTGACTCTCTGTATCTCTCTACCTACCTACCTACTTACCTACCTACCTGTACATTTATCTATTTATCCATTCATTCTTCCATCCACCCATCTACATATCTATTTATTACCCAGACTGATTTTCCATCACACAGGAACTGGCTTAGTGCTTCCAAATATAGAAATTGCTCAGGGACCACTTCCTACCAATTCTCCAGGAGGCAGGACCAGGGATGATTCCTGAGGTGGAAGGAAAGGGAACAAACATTTATCCAGCACCTACTATGTGCCAGGCACTATACTAAGGGCATTACAAATCTCATCTCATGATCCTCACAACAACCCTGGGAGGTAAGTGTTATTATTATCCCCATTTTATGTTGAAGAGACTGAGGCAGATAGCAGTTACAGTAACAAGTTACAGTAGCAAGTTACAGTAGCAAGTTACAATAACTTGCCCAGGGTCACACAGCTAGTGTCTGAGGCCAAATTTGAATTGAGGTCTTCTTAATTTGAGGCCCAGGGTTCTATCCACTGTGTCACCTAACTGGGAAGGAAACATCTGTAGGCAGTGCCTGGTAAAGTATCTGAGCCAACTATTTAACCATTCTTGATTTAGGCTGAGCATGATCAGAAGTTATCTGAAAATCTCCTCCTTTCCACATCCAGAAAGGTGTGTTTTAGCACACAAAAAAGTGTGTGTGTGTGTGTGTGTGTGTGTGTTTGAGAGAGACAGAGAGAGAGAGAGAGAAAGAGAGAGACAGCGACAGAGACAGAGGCAGAGACAGAGTCAGAGGCAGAGACAGAGAAGGGGGTGCAGGCAGAAACAGAAAGGGAAAGGGAAAGAGAAAAATAGGGAGAGATAGGGACAAAGAGGGAGAGAGATGGAGAGGGAGAAGGAGAGACAAAGAGAGAGATATGAGGAGGAAGAAGAGGAGGAAGAGATGAGAGGAGAGAGGGGGAGGGAGGAGAAGAGGGATAGGGAAAAAGAAGAACAAGGGAATTGAGAGGTACTCAGCCTAGTAGGATGGTAGATAGAGGCTTGGGGTCAGGAAGAACTGAATTCAAAACCTGCCCCTGACCCTAACTCCTTGTAGAAACATGGGTAAATCACCACCCTATTTGAGCTTCAGGCAACTTTCTAAGACTATAAAGAACCGACAGGTTGCAGTGGCCCTGGTGGAGGAGGGTCCCATATCCAAGAAGTCACACGTCCTTAATACTGCTCTTTCATTTCCTCCACTGATCTGTGACCTCCATTAATATGGGTCCTTGGACTCCTGCCAGTGTGTGGCACAACTTCATGCCTTGGGTAAGAGTTGGAACCTTTACATCAGGTACAGAGTTGACTGGTCTCCCAGGGCCTGAGCAGCCAGAAGTCACAGCAGCCCTGCCTCTCTTGAGTCACTTATTTTTCTCCAGGGTTAGGAAGAGGGTGAGTCAGGTGAGGATGAGCCTAGAGGTGGTTGAACCACAAAGTTCCAAGGAGTAGAGCAGGTGACCTCCTCATCTCTACTTTTCTATCCCTTTGCCTTTTAGCTGAGCTCGGTGGAAGCTGGAGGATCTACAGCCTTCATCTATGCCAACTTCAGTGTCCCAGTTGTGAAGGTAAGTATGGCCTAATTGGCTTGAATCAACAGGACTGGGGTTCTAGGGTCTATAGAGGAAGGCCCCACATCTCACTGTCACCCTGGGAAGAGACCCCCGAGTATGTTTGCAGCGTGACTTGAGAGGGAGGAGTAACAAGTTATAACAAGCTGCTTCATCTTCATGTTGGCAAAATCCTCACTCATTTCTTATCATAATATTGCAAAACTGGCCTATTGTAGGACTAGAAAGGGTCTTGCTGGCAAGACAGAAGGCAGAAGACGTGCGTTTGAAACCCAACTCTGGTATTTACTAGCTGTGTGGCTTTGGTGAGGCCGTTTCTCCTTCTGGGCCTCAGCTTCAGCGTCTGTAGATGAGCCAGTTGGACCAGATGGTCTTGAAAGCCTCTGCATCTCTCTCCACTGTGGTCCTAAGTGCCTTCCTTTCCCTGGACCTCAAATTCCTCCACTAAAAAGTGAGGTTAAAATAAACCCTTCTCTGCTTCTATCTGAGAATTGTTTGTGAAGTTCAAGTGAGAGACTGCTTATCTAAACTCCTGACAAATTACCAAGTGGTGTATAAATGTAATTTGTTATTATCAAGGCTCATAGGAGGCCCAGAGAAGGATAGGGACAGGCCCAAGGTCACACAGTAAGTTATTAGAGTCTGTACTAAAATTCTTCTATCTTCTAGCTCAGGGCTATTTCCATTATATCACAGTGTCTCCTGGGGCCTCATCTAGTTCTGTTCTTATTCAATTTAATTCAGTCCAATTCACCTCAGTTTGATTCAATTCCATTTGATTCAATTCACTGTAGTTTGGTGGGAAAAGCATGAAATCTGGAGATAGAGGACCTGGGTTCTAATGCTGGTGTGCCACTTATTTTCATATGTATGACCTTGGACAAGTCACTTTTCTGGATCTCAGTTTCCTCATCTATAATAATATGGAGTTTGACCAAATGATTCTTAGAGTCTCTTCTAGCTTTAAAATTATCCCATTAAATTAATCATTTCAATACACTTATTAAGTACCTAGACTAGGGGTAGGGAACCTGCGGCCTTGAGACCACATGTGGCCTTCTAGATCCTCAAGTGCGGCCCTTTGACTGAATTTAAACTTCACAGAACAAATCCCCTCAGGGGATTTGAATTTAGTCAAAGGGCCGCACTTGAGGACCTAGAAGGCCATATGTGGCCTCAAGACCGCAGGTTCCCCAACCCTGGGCCCTTGTATTCAGGGCTGGAGTCAGTCAGTTAATAAACGTTTATTAAGTGCCTACTATATGTGAGACACTGTGCTAAATGCTGAGAATACAAAAAGAGTCCAAAGACAGTCCTCACTCTCAACAACGGGCATTTCTGGTTTGGTGTTTTTGTTTGTGCCATGGAATGTATTTGTTTATGCATGCATCTGGAAGGGGAATTGCTTGTTGGTGTGCATGTGCATGTGGGCAAGGACAGGCCTGAGCCTATAGGAGGTCACTCTGCCCTGGGGCTGTGCCCTTTTCTTTACAGAATGCAGCCCTGTTTTGGTGGAACCTTCACAGGAGTGGTGAGGGTGATGGAGACACATTACATGCTGGCTGCCCTGTCCTGGTTGGAGACAAATGGGGTAAGATCTTTCCTGGATAGGGAGGGGGATGTTTGGGCTGGGAACACACAAAGAGGTTTGAACCAAGACCAGAAGGGAATGAGAGCTCTGATGTAGTAGGTGAGAAATTTGTGTTTCAATTCAGTCTCTGCCACTTACCAATTATGTGGCCCTGGGAAAGTCACTTACTTCTATTAGCTAATACTCATATGGTGATTTAAAGCTTGCAAAATGATTTACATTATGTCATTTCATCTCTGGGCCTCAGTTTCCTCCTTTGTAAAATGGATTGGCCTAGATGACCTCTAAGGATTCTTCAGGTTATAAATCCTATAATTCTTATTTTTTTTATTTTATTATTATTATTTTTTTGTGAGACAATCAGGGTTAAGTGACTTACCCAAGGTCACACAGCTAGTACGTGTCAAGTGTCTGAGGTCAGATTTGAACTCAGGTCCTCCTGACTCCAAGGCCAGAGCTTTATCCACTGCACCATCTAGCTGCCCCCATAAATCCTATAATTCTATGAACTAAATTGAATTTAATTGAGTTGTTCCTCCTCCTGTTCTCTCCTAGTGGCCAACAAATGGATCCATGAGTATGGGCAGGAATTCCGCAGACCATGCAGTTCAAAGCCTGAAGACTAGTCTGAGTGCAGAGGCCTCCTCCTGGGAGCTAGAAGACAAGATCTGACCCAGGGACTTTGCAGTGTGTGTGGTAGAGGGTGGGGGAGTCATCCAGCGGAGTCCCATTGGAAGAGTGAAGGTCAGCAATGGCTTCTGGCAGATGGGATGAGAAGCAAAGACCACAATGATCTCCAACTCCCTTTACCTTAGAATTTATACTTGGAGCTCCACTTTGGGGCTGAGACAGAGGAGCACGGTGAGAACAAAAGGGAGAATGGGAGAGGAAAGCCATTGTTGGGTTCAGTGCCCATTGCTGGGAACAGTAGACCCTGAGGCTTGGTCCAGGGTAGAGCTCTGTAGGCTGAGACTAAGCTTGATTTAGTATGAGCTGAGTGACGGCTCAAAACCTGATTTGGGTAAGGGGGCTAGGGTGAGGAGAGAAGAGGAGGCTTCGGTGCTAAGTCAGGGGAAATGTCTTTTTAGATCTCTTGGTAGAGATATGGGAAACTGAACTGCTCTTGCCAGTCCCGTTCATGCACAGCTGTGACGATGGCCACCTTCAGGGGGAGTTGGCAGTGGTTCGCATGGCTCCCCCAGCCCTGGTCCTGCGCAGATGCTGCCTGAAGCCAGAGGCCTAGAGCAAAGGCAGCATCACCCTTTTGTGGGTATCTTGGGAGGGAACTCAGAATCACATCTTGCCTGAACCGGAATTCACACGACAACATCCCTGACTAGTGCTCCTCCAGTCTCTTCTGGAAGACCTTCAATAATGGGGAAAACTAACTACCTCATGAGGCAGCACACTCACTTTGAGACAGCTCGAACCATTTTTCCCTCTTTGGAGCTAAAATTCATCTCTGCCACCCACTGCTCCTAGAATATCAGTGAGGCCCAGCAGAACTTGCCTAATCCCTATTACACGTGATAGCTTTTCCAAATACTTGGAGATGCCCTGTCTCCCTTATCTTCTCTTTTCCAGGCAAAACATCCCCAGTTCTTTCCAATGGTCCTTACATGGCGTGGCTTTGAGCATACTCACCATTCTGGTTGCCTTCCTCTGGACCTACTCAAGTGATCTGAGGTCCTTCCTGAAATGTGGTCCTTCCTGAAATGTGGTCCCAGAAGGTCCCAGGCACAATACCTCAGAAGGGAACTGACAGGTAGACAGTTCAGTGGGACTATCAGCTCCTTCCCTCTTGGGCCTCTGTCTCTATGAATGTGGGCCAAGATCACATTAGCTTTGGGGCTATCACTCTTTTTTTTTTTTTATATTGAGCTTGCAGTCTCCTAAAAGATCACAGCAGAGAGACTGAGAAACATCAGCAAGCCCAGGAGACACTTGGCTTGTACCACACCTAGACCTCAGGGCATCAACTCTGTCACTTCCACATTATCACTAGACCACAACAGATCCTAAATCCAAACAAGGTCCAAGACAGAAAAAAGCTGATACTTTTCCAAGGCCAGGAGATGGGGCTGATTTTCAGCCTGCTGACTTGGATTAGTAATCTCAGGGGCTCAGCCCTCTGAGCAGAGGTGCCCTTCCAGGAGGGAAACTCACCGACAACTCTTCCTTCTCTTCTCTCCCCTGCTATTCCCTGGGCCATTGGCCTAGAATAAATAATGAACATTTTACTAATATTTTGAACATAAACAGTGCCTTTCTTCCACGGACCAAAAGCATTTCAGTCAGCTGGCAGGCACATATTGAGTCCTCACTGGATGCAGAGCCCCACAGAGAATCCACAAGATGACACATTCCCTGCTTTTGAGGAATTCCAAGTTTCTCTGGAGAGATAGCACATACATAGACTTAGATCTTAATGCTGGAAGGACCCTTAGGATAAAGGAACACTGAATATCAGAATTGGAAGGGACCTTATGCCATAGAATACAATGTCGGAGTTGGACTAGACCTTAAAAAATATTAGACCAGAAAATGTCAGAGCTGGATCAATCCTTAAATCACAGAATGTTGGAGCTAGAAGCAACTTTGGAACATAGAATTTTAGAGCTAGAAGGGGGCCTACAGATTATCTGGTTCAATGCCCTCATTTTACAGATGAGGAAACAGAGACCTAAAGAGAGGGACTTGCTCACGATCCCATGAATTAGTGTCAGAAGCAACTTGTCCACTACCAATTTTCTCTTCCAGCTCAGACACTCATTGAGACTGCTTTGCTCTACCCTGGCGCACCATCTGTGGTTAGTGGTTTGAGCGCACCTGATAATTCTCCCCACACAATCACTGATTGTGGGAACATGGGGTCCACTAGAGGCAGAATGGGGAGTGTTGGTTCTGGAGACCCAGGCAGCCTCTCCAAACAGGCTCAGGAGGAACCAGAGCCAAAAGCCACACAAACCATCCATTCATGGAACCCTTTGAAAGGGAGCCCTGTTAGGGGGCCAGCAACCAGCTACCTGAACCCTGGAGGACAGTCACTGTGTGTTTGTATATGATCAATGGGAATGGGTTGGGATTGCATTTAGAAGTATGTAGTCTTATATTTTAATATTACAAGGGTATATAACTTCATCCTTGTGGACACTCCCTCTACTAAAACAAATCAGTTCTTTTACACCTTAGCAGACAGTTTTATGAGTTGTGATGGCTGAAAAAAATGCTGTTCCCTAGTGGTTACTCTTCCAGTGATGAGCTTCCCTGCAATTAGCTAGGCTAGTTCTCAGACAACAGATACACAATTCATTGCTTGGCTGTCACTCAAAGCCTTTCAATCCTTAGTTGGATCTGCCTTGATTGAAGCCTCATAGCCTTTGAGAGCTCAGGGTCAACTTCATGAGGCATCAAGGATTATACAGGAGGAGGTAGGTTCCCTCCTACAACTAGGGAAGCTGTTGTATGTCCCCAGTCTCCAGAGTCTGATTCTAACTTGGATCTTCTTTGGGTCTGTTTCTTCCTCTTTAAAATTAGGAAACTGAACTAGGTGATATCTAGAGGGTTTTTGCCTCTTTTATGTTCTAGGGCCTTATGACATTCTTTATTCTAAAGTCCTTTCCAGTTTTCATATTTTGAGATTCTGTGATTTAAGCTGAGAACTAAAATAAGAGAAATTATTCCAACAGGAAGAGATTCTACCTACACAATGTATCTCACATCCATTCTCATTACTCACATGGTTACTACCCTCATTTAGGGTCTGACTTTTACCTGGATTACTGCAATGGCCTCCTAAATTGGATTGCCTGCCTGTTTTCTTTCTTCCAATCCATCCTCTATAAAGTTGCCAAAATGATATGCCTACAGCACATGTCTGACTACGTCACTACTCTACTCAAGAAACTAGTGGCTCCCTCTTGCCTCTAGGATAAAATACAAATTCCCTTTGAAAATTTTTCACCACTTTGCTGAAATCTGCCTTCCTAGTTCATTATACATTTACCTCAGCACATTGAAGGGTTTGGTCAAATTGGCCTTTTTTCTGTTCCATATATATGAAATTCCATCTCTCCATATCTTTGCATAGGCTCCCTGCCTCCTTCCCCCAAGCTGGAAATGCACTTCATTCTCATCTTTCTCTCACAGAATCTTTAGCTTCCTCCAAAGTTCAGCTTAAATACCACCTTTTACAAGAAGTCTATCCTGGTTCTCTAGGTTATTCATGTCCTTCTTTGGGAAATTACTTTGTGTACACACACACACACTGCATTTTGTTTTCTATGCTCATGCTGTTATCCCTCAACAGAATGTAATCTCCTTGAGGGCAGAGATGGTTTCGTTTCTGTCTTTGCATTTCCAACACCTAACACAGTAATTTTGCTTCATAAATGCTTACTGAATTGAAGGAAAGGACATTCCAGGCACAGGGGATGGTAACTTCAACTATGGCTCATTCTGTTTGGCTGGTGCTTTCGGTACCATTTATACAAGAGAATCAATCATATAAGGTAAAAATGCAAAGACATGTTAGAACCAAATTATGGAAGGCCTTGAATGTCAGTGATGGCTGGACTTCATATTGTGGGTTACAGGAAACTACTGAAGAGAAGTTGGTGGGGGGCATCATGATTAAACCCAAAGAATGAAGTGCTAATGTTAAGACTGAGATTTTCAGACACCTGGGGCATTGGGTGGAGCAGATTCTTTGGTAAGGGCAGAGAGGCTTTTCCATAGTAGAGCACTGGATTTGGAGTCAGAAGACCTGGCTTCCAAGCCTTGGCTCTGCCACTTACTGTATTACATGACTGTCACTTCTTTCTGGGCTTTCGTCTACTTTAAGATGGCTTTGGTCAATATGATCTCTAGAATCCCTTCTTGTATGAGGCCATACTTGTGTGTTTTAAGTCCAGGTTTGGACATTTACCAAGTTGTGTGCACATGAATGCCTTCCCACTAGGACTATTGCTCAAGAATACATGTAACCCTAGGTGGACAAAATCCTAGGGTAGGTTTTAGTCCCAGCTCATCCTTGCCTTCCACTGCCAAGCCTAATGTGCCGTGTGACCTTGGGCAAGTCACACAATAGCAGAATCTCAGGCAGAAGGGACTTCAGAGGCTATCTTACTTAAAGGTGAGAAAGATGAGAGATTGGGAGTAGAGGAAAGGGCTGGTTGAAAAAAAGGAGAGTTCACAGAAAAAAACTGCTATAGGGAAGCAGACTGGTTTTATGGAAGGATGAAAGTCATCACAGAGATGGGGAATCAAGGGATGAGGTTTAAAAGGCCTGGGGTAACTCTTCTCTCCAACCCCATTTCCCAGGGAGTAACAGTAGCTCTCATTTTTTCAGTACTTTAAGATTTACAAAGTATTTGTCTCCCAAAGATCCTGTGACACAGGTAGAAAAAGTCTTAAGGACCTGTTAATCAAACTCAGGCGTTCTACCAGGCACCTTTTAGATCTCTGGTCTAACACACAACTGAGACATGTTTCCATGTTCTTGCTACCCCCTTGTGGTAACTTCGGTAACTACAGAAGAGCTGGATATCTTGGCCAAATCAAAAGGACACCTTCAAAGTTGAGTCTCCACCGTTAATCTAGGTAGGCCCAACTTTCCAATCGCCTTTGAATCCCTGTTCATCAAGCAATGTGATGTTAGTACAGTAAAGCTGTGGTATAGAGACTTGGATTTAAGAGTCCTGCCTCTTACAATTTTCTGGCTATGAGACCTAAGCATTAGACTTCAAATTTCCCCCTGGTAAAATGAAGGTGTGGGTTAGACTAATCACTATGGTTCCTTCCAGGTCTAAGGATCTTTTCTGTTCCATGATCTTCCGAGCTTTTGATGTTGTAAGACTCCTTTCAATTTCAATACAGTGTTTGGTGGTAGTGTGCTCGTTGCAATAGACCACTGGAGCCATTCTCTCAGGCTGGGTAGGTGCTCAGGTACCTATTCCAGATGCAGAGGGCTGGGGCTCACTTTAGTTTCTGAGACATTACACTGGGCACTTTCCAAAATGAGATCTTGTATGGCTGAATAAGAATTCAGCTGACTTGTTCTGGGTCTGGGATAACACAGGAAATGAAAGTAGGTAGGCCTTTGATAACCTAGGTCAGATACTGAGCAAAGCTTCCTACCCAATGTGCCAGGCTGTGACTCAACTTACGGAGACAAGGTAGCTGTGGAGAGACCATTTCATCCAATGACAGGCAACATGGCATAGTGTAGGGGTTTTTATCCTTGGATCTCTGAACATGTTTGTTTTTTATATTGACAACTATATTTTGATATAATTGGTTTCTTTTGTAATCCTATGTATTTTTTATGCATTTAAAAACATTCTTCTGAGAAGGGGTGCACAGACTTCACCAGACTGCAGAAAAGGGCCACAACACAGATGTGGTTAATAACGCTTAGCATATTGGAAGGAACACTGGATTTGTCAAGACGTTCTGGGTTTCTGTCCTGGCTTTGACATTTCACTGTAACCCTCCTGTATATAATGGGGATAATATTTCTATCACTTATGCAGAAAGATGTCTCATGCAGGATCCAATAAGACAGCATTTGTATAAATCTTAAAGTTCAACAGAAATGTCACCCATTACTAAAATCAAGACCATGTCAGACTCGGAAGAAATCTAAACTCTACTGTATCCAGTTTTTTCATTTTACAAAGGTGGATACCGAAGTCTAAAGAATCTATATTTACCTCTGGTCAAATAGCCAGGGCCAGGGCTGGAAATGGAACTAGGCTATACAGAAAGTTAGGATGGGGCTGGAGGCAGGGCATGAACAGCTGGGTCTAGAATCAAAGTCTCCTGATTTCTAGGCCAATATACTACTTCTTTTCTGCTAGGAACTCTGGAGCCAGCTGAGAGGAAAACTGGGTGAAATGAAAGACAGATACAAAGTGATCCTAATGAAGATAGCCTTTTACAACTGTTAGAAAGATGCATTGGGCCTTGGTTGGGGCCCAATTCAAGGAGATACTCCCAGACACTTCTCTGCCACCCACTATGGAAGGACGATTTGAAGAGAAAGACAGAGACAACTTCATGCCAGATAGGCTGGGAATATTTATTTTCTTTAAACAAGATCATAAATACCAAAGGAACAAAGAAGGTCCCAGATGCCTCACTGTGTAGTAGGACAGAGTGGTTTGAGGTGAGGAACAGAGTAGGGCATGAGCAGCACCTAAGACACAGAATAGGCATGGCTTTTGGGGACCTCCCCCCAACACTAGGGTAACATGACATCTCCCCTTGTGGTGGAGGAAGTGAGGAGGAGTCAGCTGTGCTGCTTCTATGAAAGGAAACCCATGGAAACTACTCAGGCTATGAAGAGGTGGATTTGGGAAAGGCAAACACACACTTTGCACCGCACCACACCACGGCTCCACAGTTTACAACGAATGGGCTTAATCCTGGCAACTCCCTGGATAGGATGCACTCATTCAAACAAGGCCAGTCAGTGGCAGATAGGGTGGCACTGGGGAGGCAGGAAAGCCAGCCAAGGGGAGCTGGTGGGTGATTACTCCACTCCAGGGAGGGCGTAATATAAGACAGCCAGAGCTTAGTGTGTGGTATAGAGAGTCTGTTGAGAGGACAGTACAGTCTGGTCTGGACTATCTGAGAGTTAGGATAGTACAGTACCCATTGCATGGGTTAAGAAGAAGGTGATGGCATAATGTGCTTGGAATGGGCCCTACCTGGTTTCCCTGGCAGGCTCTGGTACATGTAGCATCCTCCCTCCCTGATCCCGTGTGCCTGAACCACATTGGGATTGTGCCTAAGTCTGGGTCACTGTCACCCTGGGGGCAGAAGCACATAACAGCCTCTAGAGTGTGCTGAAAGGATCAAACCATGGAGAAAATAGTAACCTGATTGGTCATTTTATTTGAAGGAAAAAAGGCTCCTTACCCCTAAACATGGCTATGAAGTAATTTTCATGTATACTTTGGATGTCTAGGGCTAGGCCAAAGAAAAATTCCCTTCATTATCCTTATCCTTCCCATTGCCAGCCCAAGAGCAGCAAAGACAGTTCCCAGCATTGAACTAGGCCATCCCCTGTTTCCCCAAGAGGTGCCTGGCAGGGCCCAGTTAGTGTCCCCAAGACTGAAAGGGGCTTCAGTTAAAAATGTGGCACCTCCACTCTACAAATGGTCATTTTGGTTTTGGAAATATGGCCCCTTTTGGGAGGGAGGTAGTGGGGTGGGATGGGATAGGATGGGATGGGATGGGAAGGGAAGGAGACAAGAAAGCTTTGGGGCCCAGAAGAAGTTTGGATCTAGGGAGATGGATGCACATCAGGGGTCTTGAACAAAGTGTTTTGTCAAGAACATGAGTAGACATTTTACATGTGTTGGGGATACTAGTTCTATCAATGAGCTGATGTCTCATGGCTGGGCTGGGGACAAGGTGAGGAAGATACAGTTACATCACAGTGGCCTCTGGTGTGGTGTATTTACAACGGATCTTGGCGCTGAAGGACGTCAGGACACTAACAGCCAGGGAAGACGCTGCCCAAAAGAAAGGAGAGAAGGGAATAACAAAGGTTATCATTATTAACGTTTGCCTCCATACTCTCTGCCCTCCCACCCTTCAAGGATCAACTTTCTATTTTTTCTAGGATGCCCTTCTGGACCACCCTGACCCATAGTTGAGATTTCCTTTTTGATAACCTAAAGGATTTAAGACGCCTTGTCCTATAATGTTTCAAGTGTGAATTTCACCTAGACTATTAAGCTATAAAACTCCATCTAAACCATGTTCCCAGTAGAACAGTGCTCTGAACACAGTGAGCCCTTAATGTCCGTTGAATGAATGAATTTAATCTCCCCAACCAGACTGGGAGCTACCTATGGGCAGAGTCTCCTTCTTCAAGAAGGACAAGGTTGGGCAAATGATGAGGCGTGTGGAGAAGAGACATTCCTATTTGTGACTGACAGTTCTAAAATGGCTGCTTAACCAGAGAAGTTTGGGACTCTTCGTCAGAGATCCACAGATAGGGACTATCTCTCATATCAAAGCGTGAATCAGTTCAATTAGGAGAACGTTTTCATACCAATGTGAATTAACCAATTCAGACAAAGTGGTTAAGGACATGAAAACATAAGTCTACTGTATTCTCTACTCCTTCTTCAGGCAAGTGATTACTGGCAAAGCTATTAAGATTCATAGCTCATGTTACTTGGCTTCAGACTTTCCTCTTTCATGTGGCCTTCCTCAGACCAGGAATTTCTCAAAGGTAGTAGCCATGACTTTTGTTCTTATATAAGGCATTAGAAATATGGACCTTAGATTCCCTTCTTCCCTCTGTATTTCCAGCATTATGTATTATGAGAAATGCAGAGGACAAAAACCCCCTGCCTTTAAGGAAGCATAATATAATAGGAAAAGCACTGGATATGGGGTCAGAAGACCCAGGTTTAAGTTCTAGCTTTGCCATTTACTAAATGAAAGACCTTTAATCAAATCAGCTTCTCTTGCTGGGTACAGTTTCCTTATCTAGAAAATGGAAATAGTAATAGGTAAAAAAAACCTATCTCACAAAGTATAAGGATCAAATGAGATAATATATGTAAAATGCTGTATAAACCATAATCTAAGTTGTTAAGAAGACTATAGACAGACCCAGGCTAGACTAAAAGTAACAAAGTAGCAAGATAAAGGATGGAAGATGATTTTAGGGACAAGGCTTGGACTGTGATAACCCAGATGTCTCTGTAAATCCCATAATAGGCAGTAGTCAGTGGGACCAACTCTAAGTTTGGGGGTACAGAGATGAGCATTCTTTTTATAAATTTTGATTCTTGATTGTTGACCTTTTAAAAGACTTTTATTTAACATTTAAAAATACTTTAACAATTAAGCAAAATTGACAAAGCCACCATGTCTAGCAGTGTATATAACATTCTACATCCCAAGTGCTGTTTCTCTACTAAGAGAAAGGATATATATTTCAACTTCTGTGTTCTGGGATCGAGATCATAATACAGGAATCATCAATTCTTAACTCTCCTTTCTACTCCCACTCTCACACTCTAAATCAGGGTTTAAAGGTTCTGCATAGGATGTCTAGGCTGGATCATGTCTCCATTCTTGGGATGGGGTTGGGTAAGTAAAAAGACAAGAACCTGCTTCTGGAAGATGCTATCTCTCTGAAGCCCTGATAGCCAAGGATGGAGGCATCTGAGCTCTACCTCTCCTCACCTACCTAATGGTTCATTGGAAGAGTACAAGTTTGAGATTCAGAAGACCTGGGTTCAAATCCTGACTCTGTTACTTCATGTGTGATCTTGGACAAGCTCTTAGTCCTTCTGGACCTTAGTATCCTCATCTATAAAAATGAGGATGTTAGACCAGATGATTTCTAAGATCTCTTTAGATCATGTAATACCTTTGATTCATATTATTTCTTTAGTAGTCTTTGAATTCTGTGCCCTTTGAGCAGGTCCTGAACACAGAGGCTGCTATTAGCAATCACCTGTTGGGTAACCCTGTGTTCTTAATCCTGACACTTTCCCCCAATACTCTCAGCGCCTGCTCCTCTCTCCCTTTTATCCCCAAAGCTTGTGCAATGCTTCACCTGGGGTAGACTCAGCTTGGGCACATTCTTCCTGACCTAAGTAGCCCCCAAGCTCCTCCATAGCTCACAGCTTCCCCTCTACCCATGTGTCACCTCTTGCACTCATTGGGATGATGCTATGGGCCATGAGGTCCCCCCAGGTCAGGTTCAAGGGGGTGGGGCAAGTGTTACCACTATATGTCCAGCAGAACAGCAGGTGGATGGGTGGGAAACCCACTCCCTCTTCCTCAGTCCCCTGCAGCTATTCAGCAGGTTGAATGGGCTCTGCTCAACACAGGTAGGTATGCTCTCAAGAAACAGTAGCAGCAGCTAGAAATGCTGAACCTGACACCACGTGCAGCTATCCAAGCAATAAACATGAATCCATTTATCTTTCATGTTTTCAGTCTTTGCTAACTACCAAGGCCATTTCTATTTGGAACAGAGGTACGTCTCCCACACAGTTCCCTACCTGACCTTTCTCCCTTCCATAATTCCCCTCAGTTTGCCAAGAGTCAGACTCAGAAGCACAGGCACTCATAGTCAGAGAGGTGCTCAGAGACCAGTTGGACCAACCTCGTCTAGATTCAGAGTCTGTTTCCTCTGTAATATACCTAACAAATATTTACTGGGCCTTACATCAAGAGGGTACCAGTGGAGACTTGTGTCTATCGATTGTCCCTCAACATATGACCAGCTCACCTTCTCTTCTGATATAGCATGTAATTCCTTTATATTTTTCCTCCCTGTTCTTCAGAATTCCTCATTGGTTACAGTCTACTCTCACCTACCATGCACCTTCTCATTGCCATTTGTTTGATACTCATCCTCATTCTTGTTATATTCCATGTCTTGCTGCCATATTGCAATGCTGGTAGAATGCTGATATTAAAAAAGATGGGCCTAGGCTTTCATGGGAAGCTTGGGGACATTAATAAGCTTTCAAATTTCCTAAGGGCAATTCTTCTCTCTCTCTTCTTCCTACTGAACTCTGTTCAAACCCCCCAATTCAACTAGTTATTAACTCAAACACTATTAATAAATTTTCTCTGTCTTGTCTTCATTTTTTAAATAAAGGACTATATTCCTGGACTGTTATTAACTGTTAGAAATGAGAAATATTTGAAGAATGAGATCTCTCCAAGAAAGAAGAAGCAATTGCTCTAAGGGGGTAACTGAGACAAATGGCCTTAGGAGATGTTAGTGCCAAGTCTTTCTGGCCCATCTGTCTTACCACTGAAATCCACCAATGGGCTCTGTAAACCTGTGACGAATCAAGAAAGTTGCAACAGCTTCGGCTACCTGGAAAAGGGAGAGAGAGAGAGATCATTGGAAAAACTCAGATGAATCAAGACACTTGGTTCAAAGAACTGGAGGCTCTAAGCCTTTTTCTGCTAGAATGCAAGATCAGATATCAAGTGAAATGCAGATATGTAGAGAAATCAGGTTCTTTTTCACCTAAGAAGCTCTAAGCTATGTAGGACTGAATGCACCTGAGCTGACATGAGCTCTCCCAAACGGGCTGCAGAGAACATAAGCTGAGAACATGATAGGAGTGACCTGTATGAGTGTGCTACATGCCGTCTGTTACTGAGGAAGCACAGGCAAAAACTGAAAGTTATCTGGCTCACAGATCTAGATCGGGAAGCGACCTCAGGGGCCATCTGGTCCAATCTCCTCATTTAAAAGATGAGGAAACTGAGTCTTCAGGAGGTTAAATGACTTTTTTTAGGTCACATAGTTTGAGTCTAGCAACTTTCCACTGTACCACACAGACTCCCTTTCAACAGTATGTACTGCAGCTACCTGATTCTACAATAGAGAAAAGTGTAGCCCAGAGAGATTAAGTGATTTGACTAAGATCAAAAAACAAGCATGTTACAGGTGCCAGGATTAAATTTCCTACTTATGGCTCCAAGAGTGGTTATTCTTTCTATACAATATGTACTTTCCCATCAACTTTTAAGTATAAACTATTCCAAATCTGTCCCAAAGCCCACCCTAATCTTATTCCCCACTTACCCATATCTCATCTCTCTGTGTTTTCCACAAAAACTCTGTATTACAAGAAATACAACAAACACTGGAAAAAATGACCATGAATATATATGCTTGGGTAATCATTAACCGTTAACCTGGAGCAGGGTCTCGAGGGACGGATCCTGCAACCCATAAAAGAGATAAGTATACAAAATGGCCATCAGTCCTACAGGGCCTCTTTTACTTCCACAGGGATATCAGGAGGGCAGAGTAGCAGAAAAGGGGCAGAATGCTAATAGCCACATAGTTTTTTGACATTTAAAAGCATTAATCTGACTGGCACTCCAAATATGAGATCTTTTCCAGTGGCCAGTGAATGGATTCATACTGGAAGAATTGAACCACATCCACATCTCCCTGTTATAAAGGAAGAGCAGGTTCTCAGAGGAAAATAAAGGAGTTGCCACCTCAGTTTGTTTCACTGTGTGCACAAACGCAACAAGAAACATTTTGTGGAACACTTGGTCATGTTGCCATTTGGTGGTTATGATGAGTAGAGGGGACAACCATGAAGACAGTGACAACTTATGTCATCATCGGTTGCAAAGGATGAAAAAATGAAATTCTATAAGGCATATTACCAAGTCCTCCAAAGCAAATGAAACACATACCTTGAACACATGTTCTTAGAGACACAGCTACAAAGGTGAGAATGGGGAGGGGTGGAGGGGGAAGGACAGCAATAAATACATTGGAAAATGTGGAGAGGGAGAATGATGAGTACAGAGAATTCTATTCTTGGAGCCACGAGAGCCTGGGTTTTGACTCATGTGACAGTGAGTGAGTCACTGAACCTGACTCAGCTTCAGTTTCCTCACCTGTAAAATGGAGAGAATATCCACCTAAAATAGCCCCATACTACTCTCTGATATGTATATGTATGTGCTCATCTCAAGGGATGAGGACTGGACCTGTCACTTTGTGGATGCAGGGAGCTGCTGGTCATTCCTCAGCTCCTCTGAACGTTCTGGTCTGCGGGAAATGCTGAGAGCACTGAAACGAGAACTGACTTGCCCATGGCCACAGAACCAGGAAGGATCAGAGGCAGGACTTGAACCTAGGGCTTCCAGGATCTACAGCCAGTTTTCTGTCTACTGTACTTTGCTATAAATGTCTATCTATATTTGTGTGTGTTAGTAGAGAGAATTCCCACACTGATGAAATCAGACCCTTCCCATGCAAGTATACATATTTACACACACACACACACACACCCCTGCATTATCTATGAAAAAAGCTAATGACTATTGGATTACTCCTAAGTCTTACACCTGTGTGTCAAAGTAAACTGGACAAAGATGTTTGAGTCATTTCACATTTAGCTGTCTATGTCATTGACAAGTCAACACCAAATTAGAAGAAACCATAAAGATGAGAAGACATTGTATATAGCTACAATAGCTCTATTATGACCTATTTAAAACAGGAACTGACTCTGAAAAAAGAGAGAATGGATACCACATTTGGTTACCACATTTCTCTAAGTTTAACTACTATAAAATAGTTGCCACAACAATAGAGGCCAAAAGAACCCAGAAATAACTCCACCAGAAAACATATGATTTCCTTATTCAGTGGAGAAAAATGACAGCCACAAGCAACACTGGTTTAGAGTAAGCTGATTTTCAAAAAATGAGGATCATGGAAAATCAGAAGCAATATCAGCTCACAAAATAGAGAAAAACTATAGAGGAAGAAAACAGATGTATGTATGTGGAAAGCTTGGCATGAGCCCCAAGTAATCCAGATCATCTCAAGAGTACTTATAGGTGAAACTGAAACACACACAACAAATAAACATGAAATGGAACAGATCTCCTATCTTTTCTACAGTGAATTCACAGTACCTGACACATAATGAACACTTAATAAATGCTCGTTAACTGCCTTGATCACAGTGACACAGCTAGTGTGAATCAGAAGCAAGTCCTGAATCCTCTATCTTCTTGATTTTAAAGCCAGACTTCTATCTATTGTGCCATAACGCACTTGAAAATGTACATTTCTTAAATTATGTCATGCAGTTGAAAAGATAGCCTAGTATGTTATTCCATAATTACATCTATCTTGGACATGTACCACTGATGGACAATATGTCAAGTCCAGAATTGAAAGGGAAGACGAAAGCAGTTTGGAGTGCATTTTAAATCATGGAACACAATCGTTTCAGAACTAAAGTTTTTGGTGACCAGGAGGGCAATGGAAAATGACACATGTTAGGTCTAAGTGGGCTATAGCATATTATCAATGATGCATTGCAGGTTGAAAGTGTTTGTGTGGTGGAGGGGGAGGGGGGGAGCATTTATTACACACATACTATGTGCCAGGTACTGTGCTAAGCACTTTACCATCTCACTTGATTGGATCAGTGGTCTAAAGCATATCACTAAGGATATGAATGACTGGAAAAGTAGGTAGGCTGATCATTTAGCAAGAGTTAGTGATACTAGTTGTGGACAACTTGAGTACTGTACTAATTAGCATCCATGAAATACCAAAAGACCCAAAGGACTGCTCTCTCCTTGAGGAATTTATGGAAGTACAAGAGTTGTTACTCCTTCATTTTCAAGACAACCAATGACACCATGGGTGATGTCTTGACTTGTGCATTAATTGGATTTAAGTGAGGCAAAATTGCACAGTCATAACTGAAGTCCAGTGGCAAGACAAAAGTCAGGATGACTAGAGATGAGCCCACGTTACAGTGGTGTCTTTGACGTCTGATCAAGCTCAAAGCATTTCACAGCACCTGCTTCAACAAATTATTCTTATCTGCCCATTCCACCAGCGGAAGTCTTCACATACTTGGGGTAGACATCCTCGTAACTCACTGAAGGGTTTGAAGTCTACTGGCTGCCCTCAACATGGTTTAGCCCATCTGTCAAGATGGGTTTTACTGGGGAGTGGCTGCTGAGCATGCCATAGCTTCTTGAAGCCACAGGAAACAGTTGGGTGGGGTGACCACAAAAGGTGGATAAGCAGCCTTGAAAAAGGTTCAGCAAGTCCTCACACCAGAGGTGCTAGTTCTTCTTGATCTCCCCAAGACCCAAGAGTAGGACAGGATGAAATGGCATAGATGGGTTGTAACCTGCTCCAATAGAGGGAATACTTCTACTAGTCACAACATGGATCCATGGAAATATAAAAGCAGCAGTGAGAAACAATATTAATATCTTAGCTTTAAAACAGACTAAAGTGAAAAGAAAAGAAATAGTATCCAGAATGTGGGGATGTCCCCTCTACTATGCCCTGGTAAGACCCCATGTGTAGTACTGTGTCCAGTTCTATGCAGCACATGTTAGGAAGGCCATCTGACAAATTGGAGTGCATCCAGAAGTGGGAGACTAGAGTGGTAAGGGAATTTGATACTGTGTCATGTGAGGATCAGCTTAGGGAACTGGGGATCCTTAATCAAGAGAAGATAAGACTTGGAAAGGACATGATCAACTTAATTCAAATATTAAAAGGGATGCCATGGGGAAGAGGAAGCAGGTTAATCTGTGCTACCCCAGAGGGCAGAAATGGCAAGGCTATTGGTGAGGAAATTATAGAGAGGCAGATTCTGGCTGACTAGAACCTCCTAATAATCACAGCTGTCCCGTAACAGAATGTGCTGCCTTGGGAAGAAGTTCCACTACTAAAGAAGTTCAAGAAAAGGCTTAACAAACTCTAAAATAAGATGTTTTAGAAGCATTCTTATATTTATTCCCATGTGGTGCCTAAGAGAACTCCCTGGCTTCATACAGAAGCAAACACTAACCAGACACTAACTAAAGCTGTGAGGCTGAGAGGTATCAATATCCATAGCTGAATTTCTTACTGCTACTATCCTGTATTTTCTTTTAAACAGCCTAAGATCTGGGTTCTTGAAGTCCCTAGGATCCAAAGAGGTCCTAAATGTTGTCTCATAGTCTGCCTGAGTCTCTGAGCAGCTACAATCAACTGGTTTTGCTTCCTAGAGCAACCTGGTTTCATACTACTAGTGAAATGATTTGAGGAGCTGAGACTGCAGGTGCTAGAATACATGAAGTAGTCTTCTGTCTTTAACTCTGGAGGCAAGAACAGGTTTAACTGCACTTCAAGAACCAGGTGGCCCTGACCCTCCAAGTCCCAAATCTTCTTTATCCATACCTTCTCACTCCCAAGGCATTCTAAGTCTAAAATTAGTAAATTCAAGGAGCAAGCTGTTGATTTACTCTCACCTTGTCAGGAGCATCTTCATGAACTGCATGGCCACACTGAGGAAGTACCTGCATCTGAAACTTTCCTGAAGAAAAATAAAATCAGTTTTATCTCAATTATGTCTTGTCCCTGCCCACCCACTTTCCTGCTTTCCACTGCCTTTGAAGCACCTTCTTCCAGCATGGCAGGTCATTTCAACAGCCTCCTTGTTCCTCTTGACTTTGTGTCCTAGTCATGAGGCCTATGATCACTGTAAACACAGCAAAGCCATCACCCTATTTTAGTTTTTATTAACAAACACTACTAGAGTGTTTTAAGGTGTACAAAATGCTTTCCTCACAATACTCTGTGAAGTAGATAGTAAAAGATGAACTCCATTTTACAGATGAGAAAACTGAAGCTAAGAGTGGTTAAATGATTTGCCCTGGATCAAATAATTGGTAAGTACTAGAGCTCAGGTCTCTCATGACTCCAAATCTACTGTTCTTTCCATTACATCATGCTGCCTCTAAAGTTTTCAAAGTTTTTCAAAATACACCAGAAAATGGTAAAAGCACTAGATTCAGCCAGACAATCTGGGTTTGAATCATTCCTTCACTACTTTTTACACCTTCTTTCTTGAGTTTTTATAACACTGTTTTCTCACCTTCCCAACCTCTTATACTGGATCATTACCCATATTCCACACCTTAACTATGGGTATACTCTAACGATCTATCCTAGGTCCTCTTTTCTTATCTCTCTATATCCTTCTCTTAGTCTTTTCACCAGTTCTCAGGGATTCAATGGTCTAAACAGATAACTCCAAAATCTTTATATCTAGTTTTATCCTCTTAAAATCAACTATAGCTGCATTGTGGACAACTCCACTGAGATGCTGCACAGGTTTCTCAAATTCAACATGTTCAAAAGAGAATTCATGTTTTCTCCCTCAATGCATTCCTCTTCTAACTTTCTTCTTTCTGGTGAAGACAATATGCTTTCTTGACATCCAGTTTTGCAACCCTGTCATTCTCCATCCTTCTCTTTACCTCCTCTACTCCCACAACACATCTCACATCCAATTTCTTCTTTCAGTCCTACAAGTCATGAACCTGGTTGAGGCCCTCATAGCCTTTTGCCTAGACTATTGCAATACTCTCTCTTAATTAAAATGTTAGCCTCTAATCTCTCCCCTCTCCACAGTATCAAAAAAAAAATTAATTTTCCTTTCATGTCACTCCCCTGCTCAAAAAGCTTCAGTGGAGATGAAGCTAGGCAGAGCAGTAGATAGAGCATCAGCTCTGGAGTCAGGTGGATCTGAGTTCAAATACAGCCTCAGACACTAGTTCTGTGACCATGGGCAAGTCACTTAATCCCAACTGCCTCCAAAACAAAACAAAAGAAAAAGAAAACAAGAAGCTTCAGTGGTTCTTTATTGCTTCTAGAATACAAACTCCAAGGTGTAATATTTTAAGTTGTTCACAATCCATCCACACACTACCTTTTTAGAAGGATTTCATATTTACTCATTTTCATCTATTCCATACTCCTTCCAGAGTTGTTATCCCTAAACTCAGCATGCCACTGCATACTTTTGCACAGGCTGTCCCATGTAACTAGAATCTATAACTTCCTTATCTCTGCTTCTTAGAATCCTTAGCTTCCCGAAGGCTAATTTCAGGTGTCATCTCCCACAGGAAGTGTTTCCTGATTCCTTTAGCTCTAGTCCCCTCTCCTACTTCATTATTTCACTTATCTTTATAAAAGTTATCCCTCAAAACTGGAACACTAATGCATTGCTGGTGGAGCTGTGAACTGATCCAACCATTCTGGAGAGTAATTTGGAACTATGCCCAAAGGGCTATAAAAATGTACATACTCTTTGACCCAGCAATAGCACTCCTAGGGCTGTATCCCAAAGAGATCATAAAAATGGGAAAAGGACTCACATGTACAAAAATATTTATAGCAGTTCTTTTTGTGGTGGCAAAGAACTGGAAATTGAAGGGATGCCCATCAATTGGGAAATGGCTGAACAAGTTATGGTATATGAATGTAATGGAATACTATTGTACTATATACTATAAGCAAGCAGACTCCAGAGAAACCTGGAAAGATTTCTATGATCTCATGCTGAGTGAAGTGAACAGAACCAGAGAAGTGAGAAGAACCAGAAGAACTGGTTACAGAAGAACTGTACACACAGTAACAATCACATTGTTCGATGACTAATTTTCATAGACTTGGCTCTTCTCAGCAATGCAAGGATCTAAGACAACTACAAAAGACTCATGATGGAAAATGCTATCTATATCCAGATAAAGAACTATGGAGTCTGAATGCAGATCGAAGCATACTATTTGTATCTCTTTTTTCTTTGGTTGTTTTGTTTTGTTTCTTCTTTCTCATGGTTCCTCCTATTGGTTCTAATACTTCTTTACAACATGACTAATACGAAAATATGTTTCATATGAATGTATATGTAGAGTCTATATAAGATTGCATACTATCTTGGGGAGGGGGAGGAGAGAAAGGGGGAGAAAATTGAAAACTCAAAAGCTTATGGAAGTGAATGCTGAAAATTAAAAATTAATTAATTAAAAAAAAAAAAAAAAGAGCACTGAAGGGGTCACAAGTGGGAAAAGTTTAAGAAGCCTGTAGAGGGAGATCTGGAATACGGTATAACCTTCAGGCAAGACAGTCTTGCTATAGCATAGTGCTGTATCTTTCTAGATGTCTAACATAATAACATTTTTGCTTAGAATACTCAATCATATCTAATAAAATCTATACACCAGAATTAAAAAAAAAGTTGTCCTTCCCTACCCCACCATAGACTGTTAGCTTCTTGACGGCAGAAATCGCCTTGTGCAAAGCTGGTATTTGATGAATGGAATGGTGACTTGACCAGTATGTTGTAGAGAGAATTCTTATTCAGGTTCAGGTTACTAGATGGCCTCTAGTACAACACTTGAGATTCTATGATTTTGTAAAAAACATACAGACCAACTGTCTAAACCTGGCTTTCGCTTGGATAATCTTTCTGCAGTACATGAACTGAATTGGAACCAGGGAGAAGAGGGGTGAGGTAGGAGCAAAAGTTCAGATTTGGCTCTTGAGATTTGATAAATAGCTGAGATGAACAAAGAGACTGCACAGATGTATCCGAAAGAACAAACTGTGCCATCTGGGAAGAGTGCATGCTGTCAAGGGAATCAACTATGACCCAGGTGTTCTTTTATGTCAAAAATTGCTATGGCCCCAGAAGCTAGCATCATGTTTCTACCTCCACATGAGCACACAAAGGAAAGAAAAAGGAGAAACTGAATGAGTTGATGGATAAAAATGACCCAGGGCCAGCTGTTCATCTTCATTGCCTTATACTATTTACTTTCAGTTAAACTGTATTGAACCTTCAAAATCTCGCTATGAAGCTGATACTGCCCCTTTCAGTAGATAACAACAAATCTCATGCTCTCTGCAGAGTGGGAGCCCAGGCCTAGATAGAGAAACTTGCTATGGAATGGTAGGAAAAAACTCTGACAAGGGTTTATAAAGGCTAAACTGGGGAAAAGGGGAGATCAATGAAATGACAGAGACATGGCTCCAGGTAGACGAGATGATAATAGTTGATAGCAGGGAAAAGGCAGAGCAGCTTTGGCTTTCTCTGTCAAGAACACTGATTTATGGACTGGAAAGTACAGAACAAACATAGATGGTAGGGAGCTAATATTCAAGTTAACTAGGGAGCTGGTGAAAAGCACCTGGCTGTCCTTGATGAGTTCAAATAAAATGGCCCACATTATATTGGAAAAAAAAATCAGCTGGCTCTTAGATACTGAAAAGCTGGTACATATGACCACCATGCCAGTACTGATAATATCTAAAAGATCATGGAGAGGCAAAAATGTTCTGATTTTCAAAAAAGAAGAAAATGGAACCTGCCAATCATAAACATGTGAGTCTGACTTTAAATCCCGGCAAAATTCTAGAATGTATTACTAGAGAGCTAGTTAGTGAACATCTATAAGAAGAAGTGGTGATCACAAAGAGCCAACATGAGTTCACCAAGAACAGGGGAAGGGGCAAACTAAGCTTATTTCCTTTTCTGCAGGGTTACTAAAATACAAGGAGAATGTTATAGATATATTTTACCTATATCTTGATAAAATATCTAATAAAGTGTATCAGGCTATTCTTGTGGAAAACTTTGAAAAATGTGGCCTAAACAATTGTACAATTAGATAAATTCTGAACTAGCTGAATGACTGGTCCCAAAGAATGGTTATTAATGGTCTAACATTAATTAGGAGAGACATTTCCAGTGGAGTGCCCTGGAATCTCTGTATGACCTAGTGTTATTTAACATTTTTATCAGTGACTTGGGTGGTAAAAGCATAGACAGTGTCCTTATGAAATTTGTGAAGGACACCAAAAATGGAAGGGATAGTTAACAGACTGGTTGACAAACTTAATATCCAAAAATATTTTTTACAGGCAAGAATAATATAAAATTTAATAGGGATAAGTGTAAGGTTTTACACTTAAGTTTTTAAAAAATGACTTCATAAATATAAGATGGTGTGGGTGGTTAGATAGCAATTTGTTTGAAAAAGACACGGGGGGGGGGGGGAGGTATTGGACTGAAAGCTAAATATGAATCCAGCACTTAGAATGGTGCCTGGCACAAAGCAGGCATTTAATAAAGTACTCTTGTGATTGCTCTTAGTTTTCTGCGCTGGCAAATCATTCCTATCATGTTATGCTCCCTACCTGTGTGTGTATTCAGAGTCTTTGTCTCATCTCTCTCTATACTCTTTCTTGGTGACCTCGTAAACTCACATGGGTTCAATTATCATCTCTATTCCAATGACTCTCAGATCTATACATCCAAACCTATGTCTCCAAAGCACCAGTTCAGTATTACCGACTGCCTACAGAGCAATATGAATTGAAGGTTCCTTAGGCATCTCTAATACAACATATTCCAAAAAAGAATTTTATTATTTCTCCCCTAAAACCTCTTCCAAACATACCTATTCCTGCCAAAGGTACTACTATGATTCCAGTAACTCTGATTTGCAAACTCAGTGCTATCCTTGATTCCTTCCTCTCACTCCACCCCACATATCCAATCAGTTGGCAAATTTTGTCATTTTTACCTCCACAATAATTCTCATATTCATCCTCTTCCCTCCAATCTCACACTCACCATTCAATTTCACGCCCTCATCACCTCTCATCTGGATTATTGCAATAGCCTTCTAATTGGTATCCATGTTTTAAATCTCTTCCTTCTCCAATCTACCTTCCACAATGATGGCAAATTGATTTTCTTTAAGTGCATGTCTAAGTATGTCCCTCTATTACTCAATAAAGTCCAGTGGTTTCCTTTTTCCTGTAGGATCAATTATAAACTCCTCTGTGGGTCATTTAAAGGCATTTATGAAATGGCTTCATTCTACCTTTTCAGCATCATTACACTCCTTTATACACACTACAGTCCAGCCAAAGTGGATTTCTCACCTCTTATACATGACAATCCATTTCCTGTCTTTGTGCCTTTGCACTGTTTGTCTTTCCCACAATACCTGGAGTGTGCTCCTTCCTTCTTACTTCTACCTCACAAAATCCCTGGTTTCCTTTGAGGCTCAGCTCAAGTATCACTTTGTATGTACATAAAAGTCTTTCCTGATCCCTCAGCTGCTAGTGTCTCCCCCAAAGTATTCTGTATGTATCTTGTGTGTATGTACATGTATATGTATATGTATATATTGTATCTCCAGCTATACTATAAGCTTGCTGAGAGCAGGGACTGTTTCATTTTTATCTTTGTATCTGTAGTGAGTGCCTACGAGAGACGCTGGCAAATAATAAGCACTTAAGAAATGCCTGATTGATTGAAGAACTTACCTTGCATCTGGCCAATTGTGAGATCTTTATCTAGCCTGTCAACACCTAGAACAAAGAAGAAAGACCATGAAGGGTTCATTTAGGAGGATATCCTCTGAAACTGGCTTAAATAATGATCTATATGCCCATAGACAAGTCACTTAACTCTTCTGAGCCTCAATTTCTTCATCTGTAAAGAAGAAGTTTGGATTAGATGATCTCTAAGGTCTCTTTCTGCCTTAAGTCTATGATGTAACTCTGTTGATTGAACATGGGATCACACAGAAATCTCAGGGATGGCAAGGACCACACTGGCCACCTAGTTCAACCACATCTGAATAGAAATTCCTTCTAAAATGCTCTCAAGAGGTCATCCAGCTTCTTGCTGACTGGGGAACTAATTTCTTACTGAGACAACTCATTCCATGTTAGAATATCCATGATTATTTGATAGCGCTATAATTTTATACCATTAGTCTAAATTCTGAACTCCAGTACCATGTTAGTTAAGTCTAATCTTTCTTTTACATGCTAGTGCTTCAAAAACCTGAAGACAACTACTATACTCCTCCATTAATTTCTCTTCCTTTGCTAAACATCTCCAATTTCTTCAATTAATTCTTATAAGACCAGGTTTTCCTTCACCATCCTGGCAGATGCTATTATGTCAATGTTCTGCCTAAAAGTGGTACCCAAAATGAAATACACTATTCCAAGTGTCTAATCAAGTAAAAAATAACAGTATTATCAAAATTTTCTGCTCAACTGTACCAATATAATCAAATTCTCAATTCAAGCCAATGTATTTTCAGACTTGAAATGGCATTCTCAATATTTATTTTTCCTTTGAGCTCAAATATCACCATCTACAAGTGGCCTTTCCTGGTGCCCATGCCCCTCTCCCTTCCCTACTAGGGTCTTTTCTTCTATGGTTACCTTGCAGCTATTTTATATATATCTAAATAGACCTACACACGCATATTTTGTGCCCCCCATTAAAATGTAAGCTCTTTGGAAGCAGGGACTATTTTGCTTATATCTTTGGATCCGCAATGCCGAGCACAAGAGTAGTTGCTTAACAAATGCTTGTGATTGATTTAAACGCACAGTATTTATATTCTCAAGTTTGTACCTCTCAAAGAAGCCTGTCATTTTATCTAGCAGAGAATCAAAACAGAAAGGGAAAATCTCTGTGCTATAAAAGTCAGGCAGGAGAAAGTTCCACGAATTGCTGAATTCTTCTTTCCAAACCATTCAAAATCTGGCATAATTGGTTTTCTTTCTAAACCTAACATGTGACATCCCAGTATCCTGTTTCATTACCTTTACACTGGCTATTTCTCATGCTCAGAATGTATTCCCATCTAACCTCCAATTCTTCCTTTAAGATTCAGTGAGCAGGAAGTCTTTCATGATGCCTACAACTGCTTAGGACCCTTTCTCCCAAACTACCTTGTGATTTAACTGTGTGAAGAAAATTATGATTTTTATATTAATTGATAATTTGGTAATGTGATAATTTGATAAAGTGATAATATGTAATGAATATGCTAATAATTTATATTCCTCAGAACGCCCATTTCACCAGATGATTATGGCTTGGGAGTCAGAAGCTTACAATACATCTTGAAATGATCGATCAAACCCTTGACAACACTCTCTCACAATTACTACATTCCTGTGCCTGTGTACCTTAAGTGAAGCAAATCAAAGACTGTAGAACCTGTTCCTGTTACAGAACTCTGGTCCTGTGCCCCAAGTAATGATCCCCAAGGACCTGAAACAATACTGTTCCCACAGGATTCCAGAACACTTGTATCATGGGCTTGTGGGCTTGTCATGGAAAACTACTCAGGCCCTGGAAATGATTGTTTGTTTGTAATCCCCCTTTCCACTTGTGATTTATGTATATAATCTCTGCCTTCACTACAGCAAGGTGGAATTCTGATCAGGAGAATTCCTGATTTGCAAATCTGTTCCTCATCATGAAAACTATTTAATTAAACTGCTACTTGATTATTGGCACCTTGTCTCTGGCCTGCTGTTCCAGGTTAAAGACTGGCTCAGTAAAATTCTGTTAACAACTACTTTTATTTATTTGTATTTATTCTCTTTACACTTAGTCTGCATATACTCACAGATGTATTTGTTGCCTTTCCCATTTGAATAAAAGCTCCTTGAGAGTTGGGATAATTTCAGTTTTGTATCTGTATCCCCAGTGCATACCATGATGCATAGCATAGAGCAGGCATTTAATAAATGCTTTCTGACTGAAAACTAAGGTCCTTGTGCACTTTGCCCAAACTCAATTCCTTGGAACCTAACATCACGATGATTTCTTTTCTACCTCCATCTGAAGACAACTTTTTGATTCCCTGATGCTTTCTGAGGACATTCCCGCCAATCAAAGTCTAAGCTTGAGACAGAGACCAGGGTTTACTAAAGAAGAAAATGCAATGCAGGGGTGCCGTCACCAAGGTGATGGAATAGTATATCTTATTTTTTGAGATTTTGATCACTTCAGATAGGCCCAGGTCAATTCAAATTCCCAGAACCTGAAAATGAACCAGATTCCATCTCACTGGATTCTATGTTCTTTCTCATGAGGCAGTGGGTAATAATATACAAAAAACATCAGCTGGGCTATTCCGCAATAGATGAGTGATCAAAGGATATGAATAAACAAGTCTCAAAAGAATAACTACGAACTATTAAGCATATGAAAGAATGATCCAAATTAATAATGATAAAAGAATGTAAATCAAAACAACCCTAGGTTTCATCTCATACCATGCAAATTGGCGAACACGATGAAAAATGAGAATAATCAATGTTGAAGGGGTTTTGGGAAGCTAGGCATCTTATCGAATTGTTGGTGTAGCTATGAATCATCAAATATTTTGGAAAGCAATTTGGAATAAGCAAATAAAGTGAATAAAATATCCATACCATTGGACCCAGAGATTTTACTATTACTAAGTTTATACCCTAAGGAAGCCACTGATAAAAACAAAGTCCCCATATACACAAAAAAATTTAAAGCAACACTTTTTGTGGTAGCAGAGAGTTGGAAAAAGTAGATGACCACTGACTGGGGAATGATTAAATAAATTATGGAACATGAATGGAACAGAATATTATTCATATTAGACTGGGAGTTCCTTGAGAGTAGGGCCTGTTTTTTGTTTGTTTGTTTGTTTTTTGCGGGGGGGTTTCCTTTCTTTGTATTCCCAGTTCTTAATACAGTGCCTGGTACTTAGTAGGCACTTAATAAATGCTTGTTGATTGACTTACTGTGCTATAAGAAATGGTAAATATGATGAATACAGAGATGCATGGAAAGATTTACATGAATTGATGAAAAGTGAAGTATTTAGTGCTAAGAAAACAATATCCACAATGACTAAGACAATGTAAATGGGAAGAACAATCACAAAATAATCAAAAAGTGAAAGCTGCAAATTACAATGAACATGCACATCTCCAAAGAAGAGATAAGAGAAGACACCCATATCCCACCCCTTTACAGAGGTGGGATGTCCATGAGTGTGGTACAATTGAAATTTTTTCAATGTACTGAAGTTTTGCTGATTTTTGTCTTTTTTCTTTAAAAATATTACTTGTTTTATGGAAGAAAAAGAAAACATCAGTTAGGGTATGAGATCATCAAAATAGGGAAAAATTGTATGTATTTCTGAGGAGGTGGGAGTTAAGAGAGTGTAATTCCCATTACCTTCGTTATTGATGCCACTACTATTTGGTAAACTGCTTTAATAAGCACCACCCCAAATAGCATATTCACAAATAAACACCCACTTACCTGCCAGAAGCAGTAGCTTAGGAATAGGGCAGCTAAGGAAGAGATTGGATAAGCCTCTGAACCAACCATCCCAATACTTTTCTGTTTTTGCCAGTTCAATTCTCCAGGTGTATGGATGGTCCTTCTTGGTCTAAAAGGAAAGAGAAAAAGTTAGGCCACTGACTACAATCAGAGAAAAAGAGCAGTAATTTGACTTAATTCAACAAAGATTTATTAGGTTCTTACTATATACAAGGCATTGTGTTGGGGATATAAGGATGACAAATGACACAATTCTCACTCTTCGAGAATTTTGAACTCTAACAGGGTGGGTATAAATTATTTACCCAAATTAGCATGATTCATGGTAGAATGTGATGGGCCAGAGAGAGAGCTAGGCAAAGTACTCAATGAAAATTTAAAGAGAGAGAAACCGTCAAGGGAAATAAACTTCCCTGGAAAAAGATAAAGGAATAACAGGATTCAGAAATTATGATAGATCCTGGCATTTCTGAGATGTGGGCAGGAAGAAAAGAATCATCTATTTTTTTTTTTGAGAGAAATTATTATTTTTTTAAAAAATTTTATTAATTAATTTTGATTTATCAACAATCATTTCCTTAAGCTTTTGAGTTTTAAATTTTTCTCCCCAAGACAGCGCACAATCTGATATTGACTATACATATACATTCCTATTAAACATATTTTCACATTAATGATATTGTAAGGAAGAATTAGAACCAATAGGAGGAACCACCAGAAAGAGGAAACAAAACAGAAGAAAAAAAATGGCAAATAGTATGCTTCGAACTGCATTCAAACTCCACAGTTCTTTCTTTGGATATGTCTTAGATCCTTGCATTGCTAAGAAGGGCTAAGTCTATCAATATTAGTCATCCCACAATGTGGCTGTTACTGTGTACTCCTGGTTCTGCTCCCTCCACTCAGCATCAGTCCATACGAGTCTCTCCAGGTTTTTCTGAAGTCTGCCTGCTCATCATTTCTTATAGCACAAGAGTATTCCATTACATTCATATACCACAACTTGTTCAGCCATTCCCCAATTGATTGGCATCCCCTCAATTTCTAATTCTTTGCCATCACAAAAAGAGCTGCTATAAATATTTTTGCACATGTGGGTCTTTTTCGCATTTGTATGATCTCTTTGGGATACAGCCCTAGAAATGCTACTGCTGAGTCAAAGGGTATGCACATTTTTATAGCCCTTTGGGCATAGTTCCAAATTGCTCTCCAAAATGGTTGGATCATTTCACAACTCCACCAACAATGCATTAGTGTTCCAATTTTCCCACATCATCTCTAACATTTATCATTTTCCTGTTTTGTCATGTTGGCCAATCTGATAGGTGTGATGTGGTACCTCAGAGTTGTTTTGAGAATCATCTACTTTTAAGTCTGGATCCCTAAATAACCCCTTAAATGTTCATTTAGCAAATTGGTGATACCACACAAGGAAAAAAATTCTATAGTATTAGAAATACAAAGTTTGGATAAGACACTATCCCCTTGGCCTCATGTAGTACTTGGACATCTTAATATAGAAGCTATAAAGGGGAAGGGAATAAGCATTCATTAAGCGCCTACTATATGTCAGGCACTGTGCTAATTAAGAGCTTTATACATTTTTCCTCATTTAATCCTCACAACAACCCTGAGAGGTAGGTGCTATTATCACCCCCATTTCAGAGTTGAGGAAACTAAAGCAGATAAAGGTTAAGTGACTTACCCAGGGTCACATTTCTACTCAGGTGTTCCTGATTCTAGACCCAGGATTCTATGTACTATGGTATCACCTAGCTGCCTCAGCTATAGTGCTAGTCTGGGAGTCTGGAAGACCCGGGTTCAAATTCTGCCTTAGACAGTAGGTCTGTGGCCCTGTGCAAGTCACTTTATTACAGGCTTTGACCTTCAGTTTCCTCATCTGTAAAATGCAGACTAAACTAACACCTATGGTTCAAAGAGATGTTATGAAGTCAATCTAATTGGGGGCATTAGGAAGAGTTTCATGTTGAAGTGCATCTTGAAGGAAGAGAGGGACTCTTATGAGGTAAAGATGAGAAGAGAGTGCATTTCAGAAATGTGGGATAGTCAGTGCAAAAGCATGGAAACAGGAGATGGTGTGACATGCGTGAGGAACAGAGAGAAGGCCAGTTTGGCTGTAATGAAGAGAACTTCATCAAAATCTATGGATTTAATTATTACCTCCATACATATGACTCTTAGCTCTACATATCTAGCCCTAATACCATATACATGAGATATTATTAGGGGAATAAGAAATGCAGAAAACCATAATATACACAATTAGACAAATGTATATTAAGGTTTTATGTTTTGTGAATAAAATACATATGAGATCCAAAGGTGGAGGTTGTTACTGACAGGCAGATTAAATTAAATTTTATGTAGGGAGTAGCACGTGAGCTGGGCTTTAACGAATGGCTAGGAAATTAGTTGTGAAAAGTAGGAGGGAGGATATTAAAAGCATAGGGAATAGCATGAGATGTTTTTCTCATTTCTCATTTTAAAAATCAGAATGAATGATGGTACACTTTTTAGTGGGTATTAAGACATCTAGGGAGTAATAACAAAGTCAGTTGATTTGAAAATGTTTGCGAACAAAGCAAAACCACCATGTTCGTCTTGTATATAAAAAATCATTTATGTTGACTTCAGAATGTCATGTGAGAACTGTGTTTGTCAGTGAACTACTTACCATTTGTATTCATTCTGTTTAAATAAAGTTGGGATTATTTGTGCATCACTAAATAGACCAAGACACTACCAAAGGAATAAGTATCAGAAAACTACTAGGAAAGACTAAATAGGAGTTTAAAAACTAAAAAGAAAATGACATGCAGCTGTAGAGTAGCCCATCAAGTTAATCAATATGTATGTCTTGGACAGTCACTGAAAATGGACAAGTGCTGGCCCCAAAATCAAGTTAGAAGATTATACCAAAGGATCACATAATCACAGATTTAGAATCAGGGAGCCTTCAAGATTATCTAATTCAAACTCTTTGTTTTACAAGATGAAAAAATTGAGGCTCAGAGATCAAGCTGGAGTGTATTCAGAAGGTTAGGGAGCACTTTCAATGATAATAATATCACAAAATGGCTACAGACATCCTTGAAGTCAGGAAGACCTGGGTTTAATTATTATTTCTAACATAAACTGGTTGTGTGACCTTAGGCACATCATTTAATCTCAGTGCTTTAGGCAACAGTCTGACGAGAAAGATCACAAAGCAATTGCCAAACTGCAATAGTAGATGGAGTTTTCTCACCAAGAGTTCCCAATACAATGATCTCTTAGTTGCCAAATCCAATGGCCTTTTCTCAATTCTCATTCTCCTTGACCTCTCTGCAGCCTTTGATACTGGTGATCATTTTTTCTCCTCCTTGATACTCTGTTCTCTCTTGGTTTTCAGGACACCTCTCTCTATCTCTCTGTTTTCCTCCTACCTATCTGACATCTCCTTCTCTCTCTCCTTTGTGAGATTCTCATCTAGATTATGCCCTCTAACCATAGGTGTACCTCAGGGTTCTATCCTAGTCCCTCCTTTCTTCTTCCTCTATATTACCTCATTTGGTGATCTCATCAGCCCCATGGATTTAAACTATCACCTCTATGCTAATGATTCTAAAATCTACCTATCCTGCCCCATCTTTCTGCTAATCTCCAATCTCACAACTCCAACTACTTTCCAGGCACCTTGAATTGGATGTCCCGTAGATATCTTCAACTCAATATGTCTAAAATGAAACTTACCATCTTTGCCCCTAAACTCCTGCCCTCCCACCACCTTCCCTATTACTGTAGAGGAAAGCACCATCCTCCCAGTCCCTCAGGTTCCCAACCTATGAGTCATCCTAAATTCCTTATTATCTCTCACTGCTGCCAAGGCCTACTGACTTCACCTTTATGACATCTCTTGAATGTGCCCCCTTCTCTCCTCTGACACTGCCACCACTCTAGTACAGGCCCCCATTCATCACCTCACGTCTTGATTATTGCAGTAGTTTGCTGGTGAGTCTGCCTACCTCAAGTCTCCCCCAACTCCAATATTATCTTCCATTCAGCAACTAAAGTGAGTGTCCTAAAGCAAGGTCTGACCATGTCACTGCGCCACCAACCTCCCCCCCCCAAATCAACAAACTCTAGTGGTTTCCAATTGTCTCCAGGATTGAATAAAATGTGGCATTCAAAGCCCTTCATAATCTAGTCCCTTCCTCTCCCCCTTTCCAGTCTTCTTATACCTTACTCCCTAACAGGTATTCTTCAATCTAGTGACATTGACCTCTTAGTTTTTCACAAAAAGACACCCAATCTCCGCAGGCTGGAGGCATTTTCTCTGGCCTAGAACATTCTCCCTCCTCTGCTCCAAATACTGACCTCACTGGCTTCCTTTAAGTCCCAACTAAATATTAAGACAGGAAGCCTTCCTCAACACCTCTTAATTCCAGTGCCTTCCTCTCGTTAATTATCTCCTATTTATCTGTATATAGCTTGCTTTGTATATATTTGTTTGCATGTTTCTCTCCCGTTAAAATGTAAGCTCCCTGAGGGCAGGGACTGTTTTTTGCCTCTTTTTGTATCTCCAGTGCTTATCACAGCGACGGGTACATAACCAGTGCTTAATATAATAAATATTTTACGTATTTCATATTTTAATAAATAATTATTATAATTAAAATAAAATATAAAATCTACAAATTTAAAAATATAAGAAATAAATAATAAGAAGAAAAATTAGATTTAAAAATAATAAAATATTTAAATATAATAAATGTTTATTAATTGCTTGATTGAAATCACAGATCTGAACAAAATCTCCCAGTAATGATCTGGTTATGAATCATGGACCATCACGATCTCAAAAGAATCAGAATTGAAAATGCACTAAAAAGCAATGAAAATTAAAATTTTATTATTTTATTAATAATTTTATAATTATATATTATATAATTATATAATTTTATTAATTTAATTTTTATTGGATGACAGACATAAACAGGCCTGCATCATACTGTCACTGATGGTTTGACTATGAGAAATGAAATAAAAAGCAACAAGGTCATATTTTAGGAAAAGGAGAGATAGGCTGCTTATATAACAATAGTGAGATACAATAGGCAGACACTGCCTACAACGATAATCTCAAGAGAATAAAATAACCAAAGGAACTATGTTGTATTGGGTGGATCTTTCACAGATTTACAGTAGGACTTGGATAAAAACTGCATAGATGAAGACTGAAAGGCTTTTGTTCTGTATTGACATTCACATTGATAAAATCCCAGATCCATCAACTGTATAGTCCCTGAATGTCTAATTTGTTTTTACCATTACGCTAAGGGCTTTAGGGTATCCAAGTAGCATATCTTTAAAAAGTTAATAATATGGCTGGGGGAACAAGACCCATGCACCAGAGGCAGATAATACAAGAGAACACACATGATGTGTTCATATAGTAAGAAGAACCATTTTTGTGTAGAGCTAATGGAAATCAGTTTTCTCATGACTAACATAATAATGGGAGTAAATGTGAAATGGTGAAGAGAGTGCTGGAGTAGATGTCAAGGGACCTGGGTTTGAGTCACCAGACAATGACTAATCCTATGGGCTAGTCACTTCACCTTCTAGAGGCTGCACTTGCATTAAACGCCTCACAGAGTGAAAAAAAATCACTTTGCAAAATTTAAGGTGCTTTCTACAAATATGATTTATTATTCATAGTAATCCCTGTGGAGACATGGTCTGGCAATCACTAGCAGCAGTCACAGCTGCTAATGACCATCACAAGTTTTCTCCACTGAAGTCCCTGGCTTTGTCAAATGGTTCAACATCAGAAACTGATGATTTTATTGCCATTACAGAAGAGGCTTGGTAATCTACTTTGTCGCTGTACCCTAAGGTCCACATGACCTTTCTGTATGATTTGCAGCTAAAACTGTCCATATCTGTTGTCTCCCCAATTAGAACATGAGTTCTCTGAGAGTGGGGACTGTCTTACATCTCTGTTTGTGTCCTAGTGTTTAGCACCTTGCTTCGCACAAAGTAAGAGCTTTGTAAATTTTTAAAAATTAATTAATTTCCTATTCCGAGTACAGTGAAAAACACACTGGGTATAGAGTCACAAGGCCTGGGACAACCTCTCTAAGCCTCAGTTTTCTTTTTTGTCCATTAGGGGTAAAAAATATTTGTGCAACTTCATAGGGTTCACCTATGAAACTGTTTTGTGAACTTTAAAGCACCCCTGAAATGTGAATTATTATTACTAAATGCTTTATAACCACACGTTTTATAATCAATCTGGTGCTAGTCAGAATGGAAAAATCAATATGAATGGAAGCAATGCAGGAATCATTCATGGACTGGGCTTTGAAAGTGGGATTTTGAAAAGTGGGATTTGGCTAGATAAAGAAGAGAGGGGCGGGAACTGCAGATGGGGAGGAGAACATGAACAAATGAAGAGAAGTATGGACGAGTAAAAGGAACAGCCAAGAGATCAGTGAAGAGTTTCTATTTGGGGAGTCACATATTTCCAGTGTTTGACAATCCTTTGATTCTACAAAATACAGATCCTCTCTAAGGTGCTCACGCTTCATTGCAAATTCTCCTCTGAAGAGTGAATAACTAGTAGTGGTGTGGCAGAGAGGAAAGATTTCTGGAGGAAGGAAAGATTCAGTTTCTAATGCTGCTTCCAACATGTAAGGTGTGTGACCTTGTGTGTGACCTTATTTCACCTCTCTGAACCTTGGGCTCCTTATGTGTAATAGTAGGATGATAACATCTGTAGTAAAGTGTTATGAGAATCAAACGAAACAATACGTGTAAAATTCTGTATAAATATCTCTTATTATTAACAGGCAGGCAGAATGGTAGTCTTATCTCTAATACATAATAATGGCTGTGGGAGGGAGGGACTTGGTGCCCCAGGCAACCCTTTAAGACTACTAGTGGCAGAGGAGGTACACATCTACATTGTTATACAGAGTTTCCTCACTGGGAGTTGCTATGTCAATGAAATTATAGGTTCAGTCCAAAGAAAATTATTAATATTAATCCAATTACATATAAGAAGAAAAGGTGTATCAATCACTAACTCACATCCAACCTTGTGAATGTTGCTAAATATGATGGCCTTTCTCATTTCTCCCCTTTCTTGACTTCTAAGCAGCAGTGAACACAGTTGACTACCTCCCTCCTGCATAGTCCACACTCCTTAGGTTTTCTCCTACTTGTCCTCCTCAGTCTCTTTTACTAAATCATTATCCACCCTCCCCTCCTCCTGCCAAGCATTGGTTTTCCAAGGCTCTTTTTCCAGAGCCCTGGTCTCTTCTCTCTCTACACTCTCTCCTAGTAATCTCTTAAGCTCTTATGGGTTTCTCTCTACATAGATGACTCCCAGACCTATAATCAGCCCAAGTTTCTCTTCTCAATTCCAATTTCACATCACCAAATGTCTGTCAGACATTTCCAAATGGATGTCCCACAGGCATCTCAAACTCGACGAGTTCAAAACAAAACTCATTAACTTCCCCTCAAAGTCCACCCTTCTATCAGTTTCCTATATCTGACAAAAGCACGACCTTCCTTCCAGTCACCCAGGTTTACAACCTTGGAGTAATACTTGGTTCTTTCCTTATCTTCATTCCTCATATCCAATCAGCTGCCAAGTCATGTTACCTCTATCTTTACATCTCTCATATCAGTTTCCTTCTTTTTACTGTCATCTCTGCCCTGGACTACTGGAATAGCCTTCTAACTGGACTTACTACTTCCAGTCTCTCTCTTCTCCAATCTGACCTCCACGAAGGTCTCAAAATAATATTACTAAAGTACTGTTTGACCATATCACTATGCTGCTCAAGGAACCTTTGCTGTCTCCCTGTTGCCACGAGAATAAAATAAAACTCCTCAGCTTTTATGCCTGCCACAATCTGGCTATAACCAACCTTTCCAGGAAGGTTTTAGTTCCTTTGTTCTACTTGCTATCCCCTAACTTAGTATTCCATCTCTCATCTTCGTGCTTCTGTACAATCTGTCCTCTATGCCAGGAACACAGCTCCTCCTACTATGACTTTGGGTAAATTATGGCATCATTTTGAACCTGTTTCCTCATCTGTAAAATGGAGGTAATAATCTCTGCATTATCTACTTCACATGGGTGTTATGAGATAATGAATGCAAAATGATATATAAATGTAAACAATTATTACCTCAGTATCATCTTCCTTCTTTCTTTTATTAACAGATTCACTTCCTTCTTCATCTTCCTCTTCTTCCTCTATGATCCCTTCCACCAGGGTTTTAGAGACTTCAGGACTCAGAGTCCCTTCACATCTAAGTTAAAAAAAAAAAAAGGTGGTAAGTTACAAACAATACTTCACGTTATTTCCATAGAATTCATTTTTTTTGTATTTTAATTAAAAATATTGGCTATGCTTTACAATCCTCCAAGGAGAATGAGAAAAAAGTTATAGATACAAAAAAAGTAGATGGAAGCTTTAAAAGACCAGCATTTTGACATAAATATGTGCTGGATTTTTTTCTTATTCCTTAGTATATTGGAGATACGTTTTAGGAACAAAAATAAAGACACTTAAGAGAATTGGGGAAGGGTGAAGTGACAGGCTATGGAAATGAAAAAATTGGCACTTTGAGTGTGACCTTGGTTCAAATCTTACCACCAATGCTTATTAACTACATGACTATGGCTAAGTCATATCCTCTTTTCTCTCTTGTGGAAAGGCAAAAGTCCTCTCCAATTTGTGCTTCTCAAAAGGGCAGCTAATAAAAGACAACCCCTTATTTGCAAGGAATGCTTGTGATGTAAGTGGAACTCTTTGGAAAAAGGAAGGTACCATGGGAACACTGGTATTCCTATTATTATCAATAATAAGGACTTAGAAATGGCTTCCTGTCATAAAGACAGAGAGAAAATAGATTCTTTAGACAAGAGAAAATCAGGGTAGGTAGGCGCAAGGACTCAGGCATAAAGCAAAAGCCCAATTCAAAGAAGCAAATTATGGCTAATCCACACTAAGTGACTAGTACAACATTTTAACACTCCTTTGCATGAGAATGGGTTTTCAGAGTCCATTTTGGTGCTCATTAGGCTGAACAGGGAGAATGGAAAACATAACATAAAGTGTAAATAAAGCGCAGTGAATTGGGGTCACTAAAAGAGGCAAATGAGTCTGTGTTCTTTTTTATTATTATATTTTATTTCAATCAGCAAAAATCTACCTTTATCTCCTTCCTACCCAAACTACCCTCCCCTCTACCCCCAACATTGAGAACAAAAGAAAAACAAAACCTATTACAAACCGGTATAGTCAACCAAAACAAATTTCCACATTGGCCAAATATAAAAAATCTTTGTCTCATTCTACACTCTAAGTCACATCAGGAGGCTAGCATGTTTTGTCATTAGTCCTCTGGAATCATGGTTGGTCATTATGCTGATAAGAGTTTCTAATCTTTCAAAGTTGTTTACATTTACCATACTGTTGTCATTGCATAAACTGTTGTTCTGGTTTTGTCCACTTCACTCTATATCAGTATATACAAATCTTCCCAAGTTTCTCTGAAACCACTTCCATCATCACCTTTTTTTAAACAGCACAACAGTATTCTATCACATTTACTTATCATAACTTATTCAGCCATTCACCAATTTATGGGCATCCCTCTCAGATTCCAATTCTTTGTTATGTCAAAAAGAGTTATGTTTTTGTACATCCTTAGAATTTGTTTTGCTTAGGATTAATCCCTCCCTAAATCTGTCCTCCCTCTAAAATCCTCTTGCCTCTTTTCCTGTTTCGCTATTTTCCTGTTGAGTGAAATATATTTCTATACTCAAATGTGTGTATGTGTGTGTATTCTTTCTTCTGACTAGTTCAAATGAGTAAGGTTACACTGTCAGCCACTAACCCCACCTCCTCCTCATTTGTGAAGCTGTTTACTCGTGCACCCTGATTGTGTGAGATAATTTTCCCTTACCTTTCTTTCCCTCTCCCCTCTTCCAATAAATTCCTCTTCCCCTCTCTTTCATCCTTTTCTTAAAAACATCAAAACACAACAGAACCACTCCCAAGCTTTGTCTAACTGGACTTCCTCTATGACTCTCAATGGTAGGGTTCAGAAGGGACACATGCATCATATCTCCGTATTTGAACGTATGCAGTTTATTCTTGTTTAGTCATTTATCATTGTTCATTCATGTTTACCTTCTTATGTTTCTCTTCACTACTGTGTCTGAACTTCAAAGTTTCTATGCAACTCTGATCTTTTCATCTGGAATGCTTAGAAGTCTTCTATTTCGTTAAAGATCCATTTTTTTCCTCTTGTACCATTAGATTCAGTTTTGGTGGGTAAGTTATTCTTGGCTAAGCTCATTTCATGCCTTCTGGAATATCCTATTCCAATTTCTCCACTCCTTTTTAGTGATGACTGCTAAATTGTGTGTGAACCTGACTGTGGCTCCTTAGTACTTGAATTTTTTTTCTTTCAGGCTGCTTCCTGGGAGTTTTCATTTTGAGATTTCTTTCAGGACATGATTGGTGAATCACTTCTATTACAACCTTGCTCTCTGGTTCCAAGAAGTTTTCTTTTAAGATTTCATGAAATAGGATGTCTAGGCACTTTTGTCATGGGTTTCAGAAAGTTCACTGATTCTTAATTTTTTTTCTCCTTGATTTGTTTTCTGATCAGTTGCTTTTGCTATGACATATCTTACATTTTCTTCCATATTTTCAGTCTTTTGATTTTAATACTTCTTGTTACCTCATGGAGTCACTAGCTTCTATTTGGACCATTCCAAATTTCAGAAAACTAGTTGCTTGAGCAAGACTTTGTACCTTGTGTGCCAAGCTGTTAATTCTCTTTACAATTCTTTTCTCTATTTCCAGGTTACGTGACCAACAAAATGTATGACTAAACATTGTTTTCTGATCCCTACAACCTCTCAAACCTCTCCAAAACAGATTCTATGCACCAAAGTTAGAGCAACTTCAGCCACGTCCATGGTCTAAAACAATGGGGGAAAAAAAAGTTGGACACTCCCCCCCCCCCAACAAACAACACGCTCTGAAACAATTACCCTGAGCTCATTCAGCAACCCAACAGGGAAAACATTAACAAAAGAAGGAAATATGGTATCCAGATTGAGAAAATTAGTTCAGGCATCTAAGAATAAATATTGCAAAACCAAGGAAAATGATCCAACCCTTGATGAGAAAACAGACCCTGTGGAATGTGAGAACATGCAACCATGACTTACTGATCCTGAATGGTTCACAAAAGAAATAAGAATTGAGAGCAGAATTTATGGCCTGCATAGCAAAAAATAGTGGGCAGAACTGGAATCTGCAATGGCAACTCTCATAAAAAAACAACAGTGAGAACAATAGACTGAGAATACAAATACATAGAAGTGAAGGACAATTCAGAAGAAAAGCAAAAAATAAAATACACTAAAAGTGAAGGACAATCTAGAAGAAAAACAAAAAATAACACACTAAGAGAAAATAGGCTCACTATTCAAATAAAACATACTAATTTGTGTGTGTGTGTGTGTGTGTGTGTGTGTGTGTGTGTGTGTGTGTGAGAGGCAATTAGTGTTAAGTGATTTGCCCATAGTCACACAGAGAGTGAGCGTTATGTGTCTGAGACCGAATTTGAACTCAGGTCCTCCTGACTCCAGGACCAGAGCTCTGTCCACTATGCCACCTAGCTGCCCCAAAATACACTGATCTTGAAGACAGAATGTGTAGAGACAATCTAAGGATCACAGGTCTCCAAGAACACAACTAGATGAAAAACATGAACTCTATACTGCAAGAAATAAACAAGAGAACTGGCCAAAACTTTTGAATGTAGAAAATGAAATACCAATTAAAAGAATTCATAGATTACCTCCAGAAAAAATCTAATTCTTTCTTCTCTTTCATTTCTTTTCCAATTTTTTCCTTAGTGCTCTCATCTCATTCATAAATATTTTAAAACTTTTTTTTCCAACTCTTGTTTCATCTCTTCCAGGAATACTAGCTGTTGTGCCTATGCTGTGTTTTTCTCTGAGACTTTGTTTATAAGTTGTTTTGGTGTCATTCTCTTCCTTTGGATTTGTGTCTTGAGCTTCCTGGCTATCATACTAGTTCTTTGTGGTGGGATTTATTTTTTTGTTTGTTCATTCTTCCAGTCTACTTCCAGATTTTGGATCTAATGTTAGGGCTGGGCTCTGTGCACTTCTGGAATGAAGATCTGGGATTGGTTCTGTTGCTGCTTTCTTGGGGTAGTGAATGCTGTGTTTTTCAGACAGGGTAGGGACCTGCAAGCTTTCATACTCTCAAAGTGGTCTGATCTAGGGCAATTTCTGATTGCTGCTCCCCAATCTGAGCTCCACAAGTTCCTGACCTGGGTTTTGGCCTGAGCAACAGCAAATGCTACTAGACTCAGTCTCTATCAAACCAGCTGGAAAGATCTATTGTTTCAGAGTGATGGAATTTTAGGTAGTCTGGGATTTCTTTGGTCTAGGATTTCTGCCATAGCTATTCCTCTACAAGCTGGAACCAAGAACTCGCTCTGCTCCTAGGATCGGAGACATATCACTGCTGCTGGCAGTGGAAATCAGCACCCATTCCCACCCCCCACTCCCACCTCCAGTTCCCTTTCTCAATCTGCCCTGGATCTGAGACCCAGAACTGGACTTTTGGTGACAAAGTTGACAGTTGGCACCTGTCCCTGGTATAGTACCCCAACAGAGATTTGGTGGTGCCCCTGCATGGTCTGGGATGTCCTCTTGCCTTGGTGTTCTTTCTTCAGGTGCTGGAGTGCTCCTGGCCCAGCCTGTCCCCAGTGTCTATAGACCTCTCTATCTTTCTATGCTTAGTTGTGCTTGACAAAGGACTCAATGTGACTTTTTCTGGATTTCCCCATCAAGATTCAATCTGGTGAATTTTCTAGATTTATATGAGGAATTTTTTAGAGGGAAAATTTGGTTATACTGCTTCCTAACTCTACCATCTTGGTTCTGCTCTCTCCCTCCCCCAGCTCTGCTCTTTTTGAAGTTTATACTATCTCCCACAGGTGGAGAGGCAATGCACATTCCAGAAAGACCTGGAATACCAGCTTGTTAAGATAAAAATCTCAGGACTCAGCTGTATTTATTGCTGTCTGTCTGGGTTAGTTCCTGATGACATGTACAGAAGCAGTGTGATATAGTGCAGAGGTGTCAAACTCGAGGCCTACGGGCAAAGTGGCTAGCAAACCAGATTAAAATGTAATAGGTAAACATTTAACAAAATAAAAAAATATATACTACAACACAGATAATGTTAATTTGTGGTTTTTTTCAGTCAAGGATCCATTTTTATTTGAGTTTGATACCACTGGTATAGTGGAAGACTACTCTACTTAGCAATGGAAGTCCTAGGTTCATGTCCCAGTTCTACTACTTGCTTCCATGGACAAGCCACCTCACCTTTCTGTGTTTGTTTAGTCATTTTTAAGATTAGCATAATGATCCTTACACTACCTAACTCACAGAGTCGTTCTGAGGATTTCGTAAGCTGCAAAACGCTCCAGAACCGAGAACTATTAAACATTTTACACCAAACTGCCTCCCTACAACATTGTAAAATGAAGCAAAAGTGAACGTAACAAAAACATTCCCTAATGAACTAACCACTTATAAAATTAATCCCCACTCAAATATCCCTCTTGGTTAACAATATTATCTATTCTGGCCCACTCTGCCAATATCTTTATAGGTCAATCTTTGGTTTTTAAAGGAGGCACTTCAAAAAGAAATGATTTGAATATCAAAGGATTAAGAATTTCAAAAAAGTGATGAAGCCCAAAAATATTTTTGTGACAATGACTCCTCTTCATCATGCTGCAAAAAGGGCAGATGTGAAGTCATGATGTACTGTCATATAATTTGGGAGAAATTATGCCAAAAACATTAAAACAATATGTTCTTTGTTCATTCTAAGAATTAGCATATAATTATAATTATCGCCTAAATTCTGTAAAAAAATAAAATAAATTCACTTTCATAGTTTTTATTTTCATTTTTTAAGATAAAGTCTCAATTGAACCTTTTCAACTATGAACTATGAACTGTTGATTCTGTTTCAATTGATTTTTTAAGTGCCCTTTTCCCATTACCACTTATTGCTGGAGAAAGAAAACCTCCTGTACTATATTTCATGTGAACTAATATTATCATCATGTTGGCACAGCATGTTAGCACCATACAAGGTCACTGCCTTCCTTTTTAACCATACCACTGCCCCAAATTCTTTTCCTAACAAAGGACTTTCATAAGATAAACTAAGAAATTTGGGGCTCTCAAAAGAGAGCCTGAAAAGATAAAAAAGGCTGCAAAGAGCTAGGATCCAAGTCTACAAAATGATGAAGGCCATAGATAGGGTGAACATAGGCTCACTCACCAAATCCAGGATGCTAGAACTAAGGAGATCCATTGCAGCAGAAACAAAGTAGGATCATGGTATTTAAAGCTAGAAGGGACCTTGGGATCACCTAGTTCAACTCCTTAATTTTAGAGAGAAGGGGAAACTGATTTGCCTAACGTAGTTTTAGTGCAAATTAAAGGAGACAAGGATAAACATTTAGCACTATTCATCCAGAGACTATGTAAGAAATTAACTAAGTCCAAGAAGGATTTGGATAAAGTACATAAGCTAAATCCACAATGCATAGTTAAAGAATGTTGCTGAAACACATCCCTAAACTGCAAGATTGTTTTAGCAAGCAGTTACCAGGCTTATTCATTGACTCTATGCTGTTGACATCTTCAGAGACAAAATACGGATTGAACCATAGGTACTGAGTAGTGTGTCATAGAAGAATAAATCAGACAAAAAATGTGAGCAGACTCCAGTTTCTTAAAGCGCCATTTAGAAAACAGCTAACACTTTTGCCTATGTGTCAATAGTCTCCCAATTAATATATATAAATCAGCCAATTATTATTTTTTCTATAAAAATATATAGGCAGAGGAAGTGGACCTGTAATTTTAATACTATTGGGAGCTCCTAGTAAGGAGTAATTTCTACCAATGCAGGTTGGCACCTTCTCTGCAAGTCTTACAGAATTGTCTACAGCATGCAGAGGTTAAATGACTTGTGCAAGGTCATACAACTAGTACAGGTCAGAGGAAGGACTTGAAAAAGGTTTTCTTGGTTCCAAAGCCAGCTCTCTGTCCACTACACTATACTGCTTCTTATAAAAATGTAATGTTATTTAAATAATGGTATAAGTATTACACATTAATTCTTCATATCTACATGCTAGAATTAAGAAAGCACTTATGTAGATTCCAGAATATCAATGAGGAAGCATGTTATCTCCTCCTGACAAAGAAATGATGGACTCAAGATGGAGAAAAAGACATATATTTTTAGATATAGCCAATATGGGAATTTGTTATGCATATTTGTTATGAGGTTTTACCCCCATTTTTCAGGGGGCAGAATTGGAAGAAGGAAGACTAGGGAGGGAGGAAGGAAGGAAGGAAGGAAGGAAGAGTGGGTCACTGAAGTCTTTTTCAAAATGCACATAAGAGAACAGAAGGAAGGCCAAAAGGGATCACAGACAAGCATTAAAACTTTGAAAATTACATGTGAAATTTATTATACAAAGTGTACCAAAAGTCTTAATGCAGTTTAAAGTTATTAAAGCCATATATACATACCATATATAATTTACACACACACACAAACTTAATATTTAAGTATAAATTATTAATCTTCCTGATTGCTTTTCACCACTATTTTAGCCACATTAGAACTCAAATTAAAGCATCTAGCCAGTGAAAAATAACTGAATTTTATATTGTGCTTTAAAATTTACAAATTCCTTAAGCGTAGTCACACAGCTAGTATCCAAGGCAGGATGATCCTGTAATCAAACCAGGATGATCAAACCTAGATATTCTTGACTTTGAGTTCAGTGTCTACCTACTATACCATGCTGTGCTATTATTATCCCCGTTGCAGATCAGAAAAGGGAATCAGACACAGAAAAGCATCCAAGTTCACACAGCAAGTGGCAGAGTAAGGTCTGGGGCTCAGGTCCTTTAAAACTTGTGTCCTCTCCATTCCATCATTTTGATTAGTTGGAAGCGTGTTACTCCTACACCAGTTTAAACTTTTGAGCTTTAGTTTAGTTTAAAACTGAGAAGGAAAATGGATAGTTGGCGAATGCCCTGACCAAGTTTAAGCATCTAACAGAAAAAACCAAGACCTACTGTTTGACTTGGCCAACCATTGAAACTCGAGCAGATTCCAAATTCCGTATCTGGCCACTCTTTACACTAGAAAGAAATGGAAGAGGAGAGAAAATGTTACTCAGCAGTTTACTTTGCCATTTAGTTTGAATGAGATAACATTAGTGATTTTTCAGAGGTCATTAGAGAATGGGATTTGCTCCCCTTGCAGTTAGGACTGGGTGTGGGTAAGTATAACTATGTGTAAAAGAAAAAAAAAGAGAAATATGACTAGTTTTCACAACATGAACATTATCTCAGATAGGAAATTCTTGAAACGTACATACAATTTCCTACAGAGTGTTTAGTATTATGGAGCCAACACAATAAAACATGAACCCACTTTGAATGATGGCTAGTACATGCCTTATATTTCCCTAATTTGAATTTAAAGAGTAGTCATATTGGCTACTGGCCATGAATAATACCCAGAGAACCAGGAGAATGGAGAAGCATTGTCATGTCCCTTTGTACCCTCAAGAATTGAAACACAGCTCACCAATCTAGACTGGAAATAATATAGTGTTTCAAAAAAGTGAACTGGTATATTATTTGGTTTATGCATCAACAATGCCAACAACTCACTTCCCCAAAACACACCTACACGTATGCACACAATTATGCTTACCATGCCCAACTTTTTCCTGAATGCTTTTTCTATACCAAGCCCTGCTGGTGTGACTCAAGGATGAACAGCCTTCAAGATTACATGTTTTCTTGAGTTAAATTGCTTTGCCCGACTTTTTCCTACTTTCTTTTCCTTCTTTCAGAGCTGGTTCTGTTATTTCTTTTGCCCTCCTCTTTATATGGATTTGTAAAGCTCTCCATTATCTACTGGGGGAATATATATACATATAATACATATATATACATATATAATACATGTATATACATATATACACACATATATATGTAATATGATAATCATATTTCTGCCTATATTATTTGTGGGATGAATTTAATGGATATGAGGTACAATCTAAATGTTGTCTAGAAATCTTTTTGTCTAGACTAAAGAGTCTGTGATTTTTCAGAACTGCCAGCTTCTTACACTGAGATACCAAATTAAATGCTTGTTCCTTAGTGCCCCATCTATTGAGAGACAAAAGCCAAATTGCTTGGAAACAGCAATTTGGAATTTCAACGGTGGTGCTAACCACTGAGGTTGATAAAAAGGAATGTTCTCATCCAGGTGGGATTTTAAATGGAAACTCAAGCTGGCAGTTACCTCCATTCTATGGCATTCTCCAGGGACTTGAAGGTTTTAGGGCGACCTCGTAAGAAATTCTGCATGCTGTTTAGAGCATCCATTGCTGTACCTAGACATCAAACCAAAATAATAATAGGCATTTTAAGGCATTGATAATAACTAATAGTAAGTAACTCAGTTAATAACATTCTAAAGTACTGATAATAACTAACTCAATTAATTCTATGGATAGAAGCAAGGTTTTTGGAAAAACAACTGCTCTGACAGGTCTGTGGAAAGTCCCTGAGTTCCATATATGCTCTTGGTAGGATAATAAGTCCTTAACACTTATACAGTGCCTTAATGTTTGCAAAGCCATTTACTCATAACAACCTTGTAAAATAAGTAGCACAAGTATTACCTTCATTTTATAAATAAGAAAACTGAGGAACACACTTATAACAAATGACCAAATTGACACATTAAAATAGGCCCAACTACACTCACCCTCTAACTTCATATGTGCCAAAGGCCTATGAGCAACTGAACAACTTACCTTCAACAACATCAATCATGCAGAGACCCAGTAAACTTGGCACCAAATTGGATGACGCTGTATGGACTGCAATGGCACCTCCCATGCTGTGGCCGATCAGCATGATGGGAGGTGGAAGATCTCCATACATAGCTTCAACAACATTCCCTACATCCCTGACAAAAAGAAAAATAAGTAATGAAAGAACAAAGGAGAGTGAGAAGAATTCTCTAAGTAATCATGTTAACTGCTTTTCCCCTACTTCCCTCCTATTTAATCTGTGATAATAGAAGTTCTGCTTCCTAGAAGTTAACTGTGAAGCTCCATTGACCTGTCCTGGAGACTTACCTTTATGTAAACTGCCTAACATGAGACTGAGGTGCAGCACGGGGTTTAAGAATTTTGGTTTGAATTTCATTTCAATTCATAAACTCCAACAAACATTTATTAAATGCTTACAGTTTAGAGAACATTGTGCTAGACATTGGAGAGAAATAAAAACTATTTAAGACACATATAAGTATATCAGAGAGGTACAAAGTGTTATATGAGGTCTAACTTAGGATATGGGAGGCAAAGTTGGGGGAAGACCACTAACTTCATGTAAATTTTAGCAAGTCACCTGGTCTCAATATAACATGACGGGATGGACTAGAATCAGGAGTGGAGAACCTATGGCCTCAAGGCCACATATGGCCTTCTAGGTCCTCAAGTTCAACCCTTTGACTGAATCCAAACTTCACAAAACAAAGCTCCTTAATAAAAGGTCCTTTTCCACTCTAACATTTTAGCACTACTATCCAAATCCAAATCAATCAGTTAATATTTATTAAAGGCTTACTATGGGCCAAACAAGCCCTTTGATGGGGATACAAAGGTAAATGTGAAATAGTCCCTGCCCTGAACCTTACATACTACTGGAGGAAAATCAAAAGTAATACCAAAAACTTACAATCATAAAGTGTTTTAAGGTTTGCAAAGTACTTTCTGCATAACAACCCTGTGAAATAGGATGTGTAAGTATTCTTGTTCTCATTCTATACAAGGGGAATTTGAGGCTGTAAGAGGCTAAGTGACTTGCCTACGGTCACATAAGTGTTTGAAAAAAGATCTGAGCCTAAATCTCCTGACTCCAAATTAAGTACTTTTTTTTTTTTTTCACTACTATAGAAGAGCCATAATGTTCTTCTATGTGTTCCTGTGGGGCAACCCAGCTAAATAAGTCCCTTTAGAAAGATACTTTTTCTACTGAAAGAATAATATGTATATAGTATAATAACTGTATACAGTGGGGAAGAATAGGGTTACAGTAATAAAACAAACACTGGAGTGTGATCCTGAAGAACTAGGTTTTAGAAAAATCACAGAATTTGAGGGTTCAAGTCTCAGGGGCCATCAAGTCCTGACTCATACAAAAAGGAATCTATCCAACAGTTCAATGTCCGCCTAAGGACCTCTTAAGAATAAAACTACCACATTCTGAGGACATCCTCTCTACTTCTGGACAGGTCAAATTGTTAAGACTTTTTTCCTGTCATCAAATTGCCTTTCTGCGACATCCACTCATCACTCCTAGTTCAGTCCTCTAGGGCCAAATGGTACAAGTGTGGGTCCTTCTCCATGTGATAGCCCTTCAAAGACCTGGAAAGAGCTGTTATATTCTCCTGGGCTAAACTTGCCTAGTTGCTTCAATTTCCAAAGAACATGGACTCAGGCTCCCCTCACTCCCTTGGCTGCCCTCCTCTGGACACTCTCCAGCTTATTTCTTTCCTGAAAATGTGGTGCCCACCACATTGGAAACATGGGAAATAATTCCAATAAAGAGAAAGGGTGGAAAAAATGAGAAGACCAATGCAGATGCACAGGGAATCTGACAATGAACTTGGATGTTAAAAAGAAATGTACATCAAATTGAAGCAAAGTTCTAGATAACAGAATATGAAAATACAATTTTGGCAGATGGTTCTCAGTAACATAAACAGTCCAACTTTTCTTTAAGTCAAAGCTGCTGGAATACTAGTGGATAAGATTCTAGATGGCTAGGAGCAGAACATACTCCAAGTACTATATGAACAGTCCAGAAGAATCCTAGACCTGATAAGTAACACATTCATTCTTTACTCTGCATTTGGAAGAAGGTATTGAGGTCCACGGAGAATTTGCTCTGGGACTTCTCCGAAGGCTTATCTGATCTGGAGTATCAGGGAAGCCTACTGTGAATAGGTCTTCAGTCCTCTCTGACACATCCAACTTTTCAAGCATGGCCTTTTTCATCTCTGGAAAAATACAAGTTCTACTTATCTCCATCAACAGGACAAAATTTACAATATTTATAAAAGTTAGGACTAACTCTAGGCTATAAGATTTTTAAAGCACTTAACTAATACCACTACTCTAGGCACACCAAGAAGGTGAGTGATTCTTAGTGCTTAGCACGGTGCCTGGCACTTAGTAGGCAATTAATAAATGTTTGCTGATTGACTGATTCTCTTCGCAGACTTTATAGCAAAGTTATACCAAAAGCAGAAAAAAATCACAGAAAATATCTCTATTTTGTGCTATTAGCAAATTTTAATTTCAACTCGACTGAACAAATACTGTGACAAGCAAAGTTGCATACAGCACCTGTACACAATGTAATACTTAACTTTTTATGTATTCATGATGTAATTTATATTGGAAATTTTTTTTGTATATATGTCATCAATTAACCAATCAACAAGTATTTATCGAGGACTTCCTATGTTCCAGGCACTATGCTAGGCACTACGGTTACAAACACAATGAATAAAATAATCTCTACTTGCAAGAAGTTTATAAATATGTATAAGAATATGAAGAATAAACACAAATAAATACAAAGTAATTGACAATAGGATAGTTTTAGAGGGAGAGCACTAGCAGTTGGGGGGAATCAGGAAAGGCTTCATGTAGAAATTTGGTGCTTATGCTTCATCTTGAAGAAAGAAAGGGATTCTCTAAGGCAGAGGTGAGGGAATACCTTCCAGGCATGGGAGATGAAAAGTGCAAAGGCATGGAGATGAGAGATGAAATGTCATGTGTGAGGAACAAAAAGAAGGGCAGCTTCAATTTCAGTGCAAGAGGGGAAGTACAATTCAATCAGGCTGGAAAAATACGTTGGAATGAGGTTGTGAAGGGTTTTAAAAGATAAACAAATGAGTTTGTATTTTATTCTAGATGCATTAAAAAGCCCCTGATATTGACTGAGCTGGAAAGTGAAATGGTGAGATATATACATACGGAAATTCACCTTGTCAGCAACATGTAAAATAGACTGGAGTGGGGAGATGTTTGAGACAGACGAATTATTAGGAGATGTTATAATTATTTAGGCAAGAGGTAATTGAGGGCTTGAACTAAGGTAGTGGTTTATGAGTAGAGTAAGGGTCAGATATGAAAGATATTGCAGAGGTAGAAATGCAAGACTTGGGAACTGACTAGAAATGGAGGGTGAGGGAGAAGTGAGACGTTTATAAAGGTTATAAACAAGATCCTTAAGCTCCTAGAGGGTAAATCCCATAGTTTATTTGTCTCTATTTCCTTTAGTATTAGCCTAATACACTATATATAGCAGGCTCTTAATAAAATTTTAGAAAATTAAACAAACTACTGACCACCTAAATTGAAAAGTTCATTGCTCCTCTTTACTATAAAAATCAGCAAAACTAAGTGAAGGAGAGAAAAGAATCAACTTACTTTGCCATAGTTTCTGCAGACAGGTCTTCAGAATTCTTGACTTTTGTCTCACCTAAAAGCAAAAAACAAATAAAAAAACCCATACATTTAAAATGTTTTCTAAGGGTGTTATAAAAGTGAAAATGTTCCTCTTTGAAGCGTTGGCTCTAAAGTAACAAAAAGGTGACTCTCTAAATTCACATGATGGGAAAAAGCAACTTTCTAAGTCATAGACACAGTTTTTTGATAATAAATGAGAAATGCATACTAGACTTGCCCAGATTAATAAGATTTCCATATTACTAGTACAGTATATGAACTTTTTATTTGCAACTTAACTTCCACTCAGGAAAATAATGACTCAGTTATCAAGTAAAACATTTTCTAAAATGAACATCACAAAAAGAAGAAAGCTATTAATAAAGACTAGTATTTTCAATAAACCACAAAACTGGATGGTCTAGGTCTAGGCTATTTGGTAACTGATGCAATTTGTAACATTTAGGATTGTTCAGAGCATATTATACCACACCATATAACCAATGCTTAACTAAGTAGTCCACTTACCATGACTCCTCAGATCCAATGCTACAATCCGACACTGAATTCTGCTAATGATTGCTGCCTGGAAAAAGAAAAAAGACAGGTAATTTGCAAGATGCATCAGAGAACCTCTGATAACATTTTAATCTTCACGATTACAGGAAGTGATTTTCATTAATGATACTGAAAACAACTGTAGTTTTTTTTTTTTTTTGGCGTATGTGCCTGTTTTGTCCAACTTCAAAGACTTTCTCTCCACATAAATGTGGAAGCCTCTATTTACTGTCAATCTGTGTTTTACTGGTGAAGTTAATGCTTTTCCTTTTTTTAACCATGTGTCTTTCCTCCTGAATTCACTAAAATCCTATTCTGATTCCTCATTATGGTGTGGCAGTGATGCTAAGTTCTTGAAGGCAGTGCTAATGTAATAAAAATTCTAATTGGTACTATATCAAGCCACAAACTCATGAAGATGGTCTACTAAGGTACAAACGAGTTGATATCTTCTTATATTAGATGTATATGTATAGTGACATACACATGGTCAAACCACAAATCTTCTGCAGTACTGAAGTAGAAAACGTTCTGCCAACTTTAGAATGGAAACTCCCTAAATAGGAACTGTAGGGACTAATGCTATATGCTGGTTCAAAAAGCAATAAAAATCTGGCAATCAAGTAATGAGACTTGATATGTTTCTATGTGTATGAACAAAACACATACACATATGGAAGGGTATTAAGAAGGAAGGTAACACCACTGATTCAGTCAAAGACAAAACAAACTTACCAATCCTTAAAAAAGGGGCCAAAAAAAAAAAAGGCAGCACATCAAAGAATTAATCTAAGGGAAAAGGATGGTGTACTTTAGCTTGACTCTCAGATAAACAGGGAATAGCTGAACAAATTGTGGTAAACAAACATAAAGGACAATTACTGTGTTATAAGAAATGATGAAACTATGTCAGAGAATTTTGAATAGATTCAGTCTGAAGTGAGCACAAGCAGAGGAACAAGTTTTATGAGGATCACAACATTGTAAAAAAAAACAACTTTCAAAGATTTATGAAATTTGATCAACACCATGACCAAGAAACATGTCACCTAACTCCTATCAGAGAGGTGATAGACACGAAACATAGAAAGAAATAGACATTTTGAGACATGACCATTGCGTGGATTCATCTTGCTTGACAAGGATTTGTTTGTTACAAACAGCAGCATGCTGGTGAATGTTTAAAAACTGGCTCTCTGGAAAAAAATACTGTGCACAGCACAGACTTGTAAATATTATCCAAATTAACATTTTCTCCAACACTTTCTTAGCTCTAGACTACCAACAAAAGAGTAAATCAAGCTTTGCCTTGTAGCATTTGCTGTGAGGTGCAAACACTAATACTGAAAATTTAATAATCTGGCTCAGAGTCAGAAGGAGATGGCTCCAGCACAGTACAGTTATTCCATCCATTGCTTTCTCTCAGAATTGATTTATTCCAGTTGGGGGCAGGGGTCAGAGGAAGCAGAGGATTAGCAATAGTGATAGAAAAAAAGAGTACCATTGTAACACTTTAAAAATGCACAGAACAGAAATGAGAATAGATAAAACAGGACAGTTCTAACAGTAATGTGTATGATTTATATTATAACTTTTTTTTTAAAAAAGCAAGCAACATAAAATGTATATTTATGGTATCATACAGAATTCTCTTCGTGTCCTGTTCTGTTTTATGTATAGAAAACTCTGGGGTGGGGGGAGACTGACTAAACTTAGAATTATTAAAAAAAAAAAAAAGGAAAAGAATTACAGATTTTAAAATCCAGGAGTAAATTTAAAGAATGTCTCATTCAACCTCATTTTACAGATGAGAAAATTGAGGCACAGAGGGATTAACTTTAACATTAATCCAAGGTATTACAGTTAGTACAAAAACTGGAGTCAAAACCTAGCTTTTCAGCCAGAGCAGAAAGTACAAATCTATTTTCGTTAAGGCATGACATTTTTTATGTTGATGTACAATACAAAGATTGGGCTCAATTTCTATTTCTAATTCTTTAGCTAGTAAAAAAATATTTTCTTTCTTAAAGCAATGTATCTTGCTATTTCTCGCTAATAGCTAATTTACATTAGTTATTTCACACATCATGGTAATTCTAAAACTCAATATCAAAAATAAAGGAATTAAAAGTAGCTTTTAAATGCTGGAAAATCAATTAAATTGTTAAAATATTGGGTCAGCTTAGCTAAAAACTACTCCACACAATTTTGAAAGATTTAAAAAGAAAAAAAGAAGAGTCATTAAAGTATTTTTTTTAAAAAGATACAAAAGACAACAGAAGGTCAGAAAGAATCAACGGCAAGAATATAGCATCTTTGAAAGTTACACGTTGAGCATAACAGTATCAGATGTCAAACTATACTACAAAACAGTAATCATGAAAATAATCTGGTACTGGCTAAAAAATATAGTAGTGGATTGTGGAATAGGTTAGGTATATAATACTGTACACAGTAGTAAGTCACCATAGTAATCTAGAGTTTGATAGAGAAGGGAGATTAGGAAAGACTTCTTATAGAAAGTAGGATTTTAGCTGTGACTTGAAGGAAACCAGAGAAGCCAGGAGAAAGAGATGAAGATAGAAAGCGAGTTCCAGACATGGGTGACAATCTGTGAAAATGCCCAAAGTCTGGGGATGGTATATTTTGTGTGATGAATAGCAAGAAAGCCAGTGTCACCGCATTGCAGGGTCCTTAGTGTTAGCTGGTCTTCCTGCTACTGTTGTCCTGTTTATGTTAACAATCTAATATAATCTCTTGTCCTGTTTTCTACACTGTTTTTCACATGGGAAAGAATAGCAACCTTCTAATGGAATGAAGTGCATAGTTTTTGTGAAGAGATGGCAGGCAACATGGTAAAGCAGAAGGAGCACTAGAGGGGCAGTCAGAAAACAAGCTCTACCACAAGCTTGCTATACGATTTCTGGGCATCTATTTTATTTTAAGATGGGCTCTAAAATGTTATGTCTTCTATAACCTATTTATCAATGAAAAACTATTTTATTTTAGGCTTACAAATGTTTGTGGTGATTGAGGGTTTTGGAAATATGATTAAGTAGGTTGTCATTCTACTTCTAGTTGCACAGCATTTTATATTTTCAAAGCACTTTCACATACCCCAACTACAACCAATGGAGAGAAGCATTTTCCAAGACACTATGCCACTGAGAGAAACAAGGACCCAACCCAGCATGTCTGCTGAGTGGTGAGCATGGGAGGGGTATAGTAGAAAGAGTATTAGATTTACACGTCAAAAATGGGTTTGAATCTAGATGCTACCACTAACTAGCCTATAGCTAAGTCACACTCTTTCAGTCTCAGTCTCCTTATCTAGAAATAGGGATAGATAATATAATTTTACTACCTCCCTTACAGGATTGTTAAAAGAAAAGCACTTTGTAAAACTTAAAGAGCTAATTAAATTTCTGGCAGCTGATAATGGTGCCTAAATAATATAAATGATCCAGGTAGTCAATTAGAACTATCTACAGGCATGATCCAAATAGGAAAGGCAATCACTGTCAATATGCGAGTAGTAATGATCTATGTCAAAGTAATGACACTACTACTCAGGATTTAGTAAAATCACTGAGGAGTCTAGTCTAATTCTTTGTTTGCCAACTTTAATCTTCCCCACTTTTAGGGTTCCTGAATGTTTAAGACAAATGCATGAAAACAATAGGTCCGGTGACTGTAAATCTGGACTAGATAAAGATTCTTAGAGCATGTTTAAAACATTCAAGAGTCAAAGTACAACAACCCCTTATCTACATAATGGTTCAAGAAAAAAACTGCTTGGTTTTTAAGTAATCTTGTGTCCCATTTGGGTTACCTATTTTTCAATCCCTTACCATCTATAGATTAGGGATTTTTGTGTCTTTTTTTTAAAACCATACTTCTCATAATTCAGAGTATGTTCCCAAATAAAAGGCAAATCAGTGATGTGAATATGACATACCAATTAAGACATAACATTCTTTCCTTTCCTCAGCTGCAGATTTTAATCTACTATTTGAGCCTCACATCAAGAAAGATAGAACTATGTCAACAAGGCTAGACTGGCAAGACCTTAAGTCAGTTTGGAACAGAATTTGGCAACTGATACCACACTAATCATTTTGGGAATATGACTCTTACCAGGATAGAACAAATAAAGAGTCTTTATTGATGCAAAAACTGAACAGAGATGATGCTGTTTTAAGATTATTACTCAGGCTACATATGCAGGATAGATTGCAAGGGAAAGAAACCAGTACAGGGACCTGTAGTGGGCTATTGTACCAGTAAGAGATTTTGCCTGTCTAGTTCTCAGGAGAACATCAGGCTAGTCCATTGCCAGGTAAGGGGAAGAAGTTCTCAAGGCTCCTGGCACAAAGGGCTAACAGTAATCAGGAATATATCAGCATTTTATCATCACTCCTCCTTGTCAGCACAGAGAAAAAGGAAGAGGAAGTGGTGCTAAGAGAAGTCAAGGATTCTCTGAAAAAAGAAGGATAAAATGGTAGGAGTGGAGAAATAAAAATGAATCATTGTACCAGAAATCCTAGAGGCAGGTAGCCGTAAGAGCTTCTTCTCCCTCATATTGAGTCAAACATCTATCAAGTGCCTACAATGTTCAAAGAAACGAGCTAGGTTTTCTTCACTCAAGAAGTTATCTATTTGGTTAAATAAAACTAGATTTAAGTCAGAATAACTAGGTTCAAATCTTAGTTCTACTAATTACTACCTTTGTGAGTATGGGGAAGTAATTTCCTCTGTCAAGGCCTTCTTTATAATCTATAAAATGAGGTGGTTAGGGTTAGATTATCTCTGATTGCCTTCTAGCTCTGAAATTTTACATTCTAAGGTCCCTTCCTATTCTAATATTCGATGACCATAAGTTTAAAATATAACAAGATGGTATTTGGTAAGCACATCAAATCAGATCAAAGCACTGCAGAGATTTTAGAAGTAAACATAACATTTGGTTAGGGCAGCAGACTAGGCTGGTTGAGGACATTCAAGCTAGGCCTTGAGGGGTGATTAAGATTCTGACAGGTAAAAACTAGTGAAGGAGAGCATTAGAGGTAGTGGGAAAAGTATGACCAAAGGTATTAAGGCAGGTCGCACATGATGTGTTAACGGAATAGTGAGCAGTTCAGTTTGGCTGGTGTAGAGTATGTACCAAAATGGTAGTGGGATATGAAGTTGGATGAATAGTCAATTTGACAAGCATTTATTCACCCTACTATGGATAAAGAGAAAAGCAAACAGACAAACAAACAAAAATCCAGTTCCTGTTTTCAAGAAGCTCACAGTCTAACTGAGGATACTGTGTTCTAGGCACTCTGGAGGAGAAAAAATAACATTAGTTATACCAGGCATGAGCCACTTTAATCAATTTGGAAAATATTCTGTAACCCTAAATGCTATTAAAATGTAAGCTATTATTATTAACCAAACAGGGTAACTGAGCCCCTCCTCCTCATACCAACTTAGATAATAGGTGACCCTAGAATAACAAATGCTCTGAATTTACCCAATCCTCTAGTCTTCTCAAATCCAGAAACCATACCTCTTCGAAAATAGTGTGGTATAGTGGATAAAGCATTGGCATGACAGCCAAAGACCTGGGTTTTAGTTCACACTTAGCCACAATTAGCTTTGTGATTTTAGTAAGTCACTTTACATCTCTGAGCATGTTTCCTTTGTCATTAAAAAAAGGCAGAAGGGGAAAACTAAACAATGCTTAGGATATTCCAGCTCTAAGACTCTATGATCTCCCAAACTGCCTGTCCTCCACTGTATAAGCTGAGAGGAAAGATAATTATCTGAGTCAAGTTCACCTGGGACAAAGGGAATCTGCCCCAAATTTTTCTCATTCTTACCAGGGTTTTATGTAACTGATGTCAATACAATTTAGTGTTCTCTACCTAACAGCTCACTAATGACATCAACTTCTATTGTCAGCAATTTACTTACAGTGAACACAGCCCAGGAGAGGGCAGAATGGCCTCCTCCATGCAGCAACAGCAAGACTGGGCCCTCTGAACCACTCTTATAAATTCGAAAAGTGTATGAACAGTTAAAGATAATTTATTTCTACCTTTGGTTGTGTTTCTTTATACGCTTACCCACATCTAACTTTACAAATTATAGTTCAAAGGTCACATTAAAGAAAAAATTTTAAAACTCTGGCTGTTGAGATATTGTCCAGTTCAAAAAACTAATCAAAAATAACTTGTTCTCATTTGAAACTTTAACTGGGCAGAGGATTCTGATTTCCATAAGCCAGAGTCCCATTTATTCACAAAAAGCCCTTGAAACCTTTTCTCTGGTACTTTTTTGAAGAGATACAACAAGCTTTGGAATTTAACTCTGATTTCTTTCTTTTTTTTTTAAATAAATTTTGTTTATTATTTTATTTTCCCCTAGTTAGATGTAGAAACAATTTCCAATTTCTCTGACCTAGACAAGTCTGGAGATACTGGTATGGATTTATCAGTGACATTTGTCACAGTGCATCTATACTCTGGGGAACAAATTCAAGGGAATAAACACAAGAAGAACGTATCATGAAAACACAAAAGGATATATCTTTGCCAGTTTCATTCTCTACTACCACATCTTCCATGGATTCAAAGTACTGGTTCCAGGAAACAGGGGAAAAGTCTCGCTTTCTTCCAGGGCTGAAAAACAAACATTTCAGGTAAAATATTAACATGTGGAGAACTATTCTTTCAGTATCAAATGCCCCAAAATTCTGTTTTAATTGTTTTGTTGTAATCAATGTATATATTGTTTTGCTGGTTCTACTTATTTTACTTAACTTTATATTTACTTAGTTCATATAAGTCTTCCCATGCTTCTGTATCTTAACATTCAGTTTCTTACGGTACATTAATATTTCATGACATTCATGTACCATAATGTCTTTAGCCATTCCCTAATCCAAAGACATTTACTCTGTTTCCAGTTCTTTTCTTGTAGGAAAAATATTGCTATAAATATCTTAGTGTAGGGGCAGCTAGGTGGCACGGTGGATAGTGCTCTGGCCTTGGAGTCAGGAGGCCCTGAGTTCAAATCTAGCCTCAGACACTTAACACTTACCAGCTGTGTGGCCCTGGGCAGGTCACTTAACCCCGACTGCCTTACTAAAAAAAAAAAAAACCAAACCTTTCTTTATATCACTGATGTGTTTGGGCAAAAAGTATACTGGACTGCACTTTTATGAAGTTGAGTCTTCTCATAACAACTTGAAAAACCTTATGCAGTTCATCACTCATATTTCTCAAAACAAACAACTGTCCAGCATGTAACATGTCCAAATTGTATCATATTTCTAATGTAGTGCTTACAGACTTGTTTTATCCTGACATTAAGTATTCAATACAATTCCCCTATATATAATTTTAATTTTTAGAAATTAAACACTGAAAACTATTGATATGGCACTACCATTACAGACAAATTTTCCTTGATTGATTTCAACAAAATATCACACATAGGTAATTAAAAGTGTTTTTAACTATGTGTTGCTTTATCTACTTACAATACAAAAAGGGAAAATTTTTCTCCATTAATTGATCAAAAAGATCTTCACATGTATATACAATTCTCTGTACCACCATATTATCTACAAGTGGAACCATTAGAAGTTGCTTTGTACATGATTTGTCAAGCATGACTCTAATGATATCCATGTCTACACTAATATTCCCCCAATTGAATGTGGCTTTTTACACTTCAGCTATTTTGTGAACAGCCTTGTAAAGGTTCAAATGATTCTTTTAATGTCAAAGACACTTTTTAAAAATTGTTTTTAAAAACCACATACACACTTTCTGAATGCACCCTTTAAAGATGTCATTTCAAAAGGTTTCATGTTCTCTGGAGTTAAAGCATTCTTACAAAGCAAACAAAGTGGTCTTTCTTCTCCATCAGTAATAGCACTTGTCATACCCTGAAAACTGGCAAAGCTGACAGAAGATGAGAAGAATCAATTTTGAGAGGGTTGAATAAAGGTAGACACACTAATACATTGCTGATGGAGCTGTGAATTGATCCAAATGCCCTGGAGAGCAATTTGGAATTATTGGAAGAAGTGAATAAAACATCTCTGTCCTAAAACTCAGAGATCCAACTGTTAGGCACATACTTCAAGGAGATCAAAGATGGAAGGAAGGACCCATAAACACCACAATATTATAGCAATATTTTCAGCAGTGGCACAAAACCAGAAACAGTAGATGGCTATTGTGAGAAATAACTCATTCGGACTCAGGAGGGATGAAGAATTGGATGCCCAATTTATTAAGCAGTTGCAACCACAGGTTCCTATGGACTAGGACACATTATACCAAAGAAGGAGTTCACTACTTGTCTCTAATCCCAGCCACAAAGTCCCTCCTCTGTTTCCTCACTGGCTGAGTACTCCAGAGTGTACAACTTTCTGGTACGCCTATTACACATCTACTCCTTGACATATCTTCCCTCCTTCTTCATACATCCCATGTTCAGAAAATGGTGTCTTGACCCCTCCTGGAGGTGGAGAAGCTAATATTTATAAGTCTATTAAGCATGCACACTCTAAGCAAAGCTTAACCTTGTCCCACTTACTAACTTCTATCAGCAAAACAAGATAAGACCAGCTTTATCCTATTTTACCGAGTTACTTTTGGCAGTTGTTTCAATTTTATGGAATCTTTTGCTCTGATTAACTTCTATCAGCAAAACATGAGACCTACTGTATCCTGTTTTACTTAGTTACTTCTCTAGCTGTTTGCTCCAAATTTATGGGAACAAACATTTTTGTTATATCTCTCAGCTATTAATAAGGAAATGGCTAAACAAATTGTGGTACATAAATGTAAAGCAATATTACTGCTCTGTAAGCAATATTGAATATGATAAATATAGAAAAGTGTGGAATGACAATAACTGATGCAAAATGAAGCAAGTAGAACCAGGGAACAAAAATATGACTACATCCATGTAAATGGAAAGAACAACAAAACAATCAAAACAATCAAAACTGAATTCCATGAAATTATAATTACCTTGATAGACTAGCCCTACTCAGCAATGCAAGGATCTAAGACATCTCCAAAGGTCTCATGATGGAAAATGCTATCCATATCCAAAGAAAGAACTATGGAGTTTGAATGCAGATCAAAGCATACTATTTGGTATTTTTTGATTCTGTTTTGTTTTCTCTTTCTTGTGGTCCCTCCTATTGGTTCTAATTCTTCCTTACAACATCACTAATGTGAAAATATGTTTACTAGGAATGTATATGTATAGCCTACATCAGATTGCTTGCCATTGTGGGGAGAGAGGGGAGGAGGCAGAGAGAGAAAAATTTAAAACCCAAAACCTTATGGAAGTGATTGTTGATAAATCAAAATAAATTAATTTTAAAAATTACCCAAAAAAAGAAAAAATTAAAATATTAATTTTTTTAAAAAAAGAAATTGTAATTACCGAACAATATGAAAAGGTACATTCTGTTCTTTGCAGAGGTGGGAGACTATGAGCATTCTACACTCCAGAAAATGTCAGGTTTTATCTGGTGTGCTTCTTAGTTTTTCTATTTCTTTTCTTTTTTATTCTTTGTTATAAGGGGTGGCCCTGGGGCCAAGATGGAGATACATTTGGAAATGTGGGTGATGTAAAAACTAAGGCTCTCAATAAAAATGCATTTTTTAAAATAACAGTACTTGTGAATCCTGAAGAAAAATATAGTGGATCCTATTTCCTGTATTTGACCTTTTTACTTTGTCTTTCTGCATTTCTTCTACTTAAACCGTGCCTGCTGTCTTTGTTTATAATAGTTGCAGCTGCTCCAGTGGATTTTCTCTTCAAAACACTTATGTATTTAACCATAAAAAGGGATGTCATTTCATTTTTTAAAAATAGGAACAAAATTTTACAGTTAAGGCAATTAAATTTAAATTTAATTGTGGAAAACTTCAAACTATTATCTATAACCATTGTTGAGTTACTTCAATTTTTAAACCAGCTTATTACAGTATATTTAATGAAATGAAAAATGAGAAACAAAACATTATGAAACTTCTAACTTTTTCACAAATATTGTTTAATTTTGAGTTCAAAGACTTCACTATTTAAACAGAGTAAGTAACATTATGAAAGAACTCCCTTGTCATGAATGAAAGCAGACTGATGTTGACATGCTTATACTTACTTTGAGATTCAATATATAACAACTCAAATTTGATATTTCTTACATACAATCATATTAAATGATTTCCGCACTGCATTTAATGTTTGTTGGGACAAATTTGCTACATTCATCAAACATTTATTGACTTTGATTTGAAGTTTATCTTAATTTTTTTAGAGAGTATATTTAAGAAGTTCTTGAAAACATTCAATAATTTTTTGCCACTTCTTTAAACTGTCTTGAGAGGGTCTTATTGACAATTCTTGCTCCACACTCCATAAGGAGAGATGAAGAGCTCACAGTTTGGGAAACAATGAACTAGTTGAACTCTAAAGTCCGTTTCAGCTCTTAACATTCTGGAATCTATTCAGTAAACATTTATTAAACATGTACTATTTATAAGGTACTTGGCTTGGCCTCAGTGGGCATACTGTAGAACTTAACAGGTATATAGTTAGTCAACAAGCATTCATTAAGTGCCTACTATGTGTCATGTGGGGAACTAAGTGTAGGGAATACAAAGAAAGGCAAAAATCAGTATGTGTTCTCAAAGAGCTCATAGCCTAATAGGGAGAGACAGCATGCAAACAGCTATGCACACACACAGGATGTACAGAGAATAAATTGGAGATAATCAACAAAGGGAAGGCATTAGCATTAAGGGGCATCAGGAAATATTTCCTTCAGGTTTTATTGAAGATCATACATAAAATATTTACAGATCAAGAAGTATTTAATCCTTATCTTCCTCTTCATCCTGGTTAATACAGAAAAGTAAATAATAAGAGCTGCTAACATTTATACAGTGCAAAATGCTTTACACATATTATCTTATTTGAACCTCCCAATAACCACGTGATGAAATGCTCTTTTTATAGACTAAGAATCTGAGAGAAGGTAAGTGACTTGCCCAGGGACACACAGACAGAAAACTGTCTGAGGGAGAATTTTAAAGTCAATCCAAACCCAGTGCTCTATCCATAAATACAAGGTAATCTTAAAAGGGAAAAAACAACTACCAACTAGCTTCTGGGGTTCAGGGAAGGCAGCAAGAGGAATACTTGAGCTGAGCTTTGAAGTTAATGATTTTTAGAAGCAGAGTTAAAGAGGGGATGTATTTCAGGCTGAGTAGGGAGGAGGCAAATAATAGTGAACATGAGGTGTTAACTGACTGAGTGTAATTAGCACTGAAATTACAGAAATGAACTGTCAGTTTATATATACTGGACAAAAAGAACTCAGGTTTTTGTTAAAGATCCTTATGAAAGGATTTCTCCCCTCATCTCTTAAGCTTCACACTTGTATTTGTTCAAATAAAACAAAGGCTTTTAACATCTAAAAATTCAATTAAGTCAGAAATGGGGTATGCAGAAGAGAAGCTAAGAGTATTCTACATCAAGTCTGGGCAATTCTCTGGTGCCTGAATTTCATTTATTCTTCACTCACATTTCTTAAAGACAACAGCTATATTTATAAAAGAGCTTTATTAATGTCTTTGTGGGT